TCGAATTTAGTTGGTTTTAAAAATGAGAGTTTTTTTTATTGTGAGTTATTGTACAACGTTATTATTACAATAGTGGCGTCGTTTTTTTGGCGGTGGTGTTCGCCGTTCGTGAAGTTTTCGCAGCGTAAATGTGTTAAGTTTAGTTGTACCCGTGATGCACCGCGGTGCGTTGCGGCATGTTGGGCGCCCCACGTGGTCGGCTGCGTGGGCGGAAGCGAGTTTAAAGCTGTGGCTTGTACGAGCGTAATGCACATTCGTATTTTCCGCCTATGAATAAAATATAACGCTCCTATTTTTGGGGGAATGCTGCGTCGGCAGTTGTGGGCAAATATAATAAGATAAAAGTTTTAATACGTTTTTTTTTAAATTCATTTTTGAAAGAGGAAAAATGCATTTTGTTTTCCAAATGTGTTAATGTTCGTTAGTTTTTCTGTTATCAAGCAAACGCGTTCTATCCCATCAACTTATCGACCGACTTTCTATCGTAGCAAACAGCATTTGTATTAAGCAAGAAATCCCGATGTGTTTCTAGCCTTGTTTGTGTAGCCTCGTTATTGCCTACGGCTCTCATGCCGTGAGCCTGACGGAACATTTTGACAAATCGTTAACAATCTTTAACAGTCCACTCGCAATCAAGCATTTGATTGCAGTAGACTAACAGATTCATATACTGTACACACATGCATCGTTAGATGTCTACCGTCAAGATGCATGTGTTGTCCTTGCCCCGCATGGTTGGCTACGTACTGTGCGAAAGAAGTTCAACGTACATACTTAAGTGGCGGTGACGTCACCACGGCGTTTGTGCCAGGCTACGTGCACGTTAAGGCCACGAGAGAATGTGTCGAACGCCCGCTGGCAGGAGGTCACGGGACAGACCCAGGGGTCATGGGTCAACTGACTTGAGATGACCGACCGATGCACCACCTGTGCCAACTTGCCGTGTTTTAGCCGCCCGGCGCTCCGATAGTTGTTGTGAGCGTCGCTCCTCTGCCCTCCGTTGTTGCTGGAGGGCGACTGCCTCTCCACTGCCTATATGGTACGGGACTGTACGTGCGTGCATTGATCTGATCCTCACTTGCCGCTGATCCCTCTGTTGGAAGTGCGCGGTACTGCATGCCCAGTGGCTTCATCGATTCATCCCAATTTAAATATTGAGTTCATTGTTATATTTATGGGACCTTTTTTATTTGGCCAGAATTTAAATTTTTTATCGACGTGACTTTGCCGAAAAAAATCTAAGAATATGAATACAGAACCAAGATGATGAAAAAAACGGCAATAATACAGGAGGTTCTAGATTTGAAGCTTTCGTGACTGCAAGGATTCACACTCTGTTTTTTTCGGTAAAATCACGTAGGTGAAAAAATTAAATATATGAAAAAAACTAAATTAAATCACGACGTTTCGGGCGCAACACAAGCGTCCTTCTTCAGTTGGGGACAACGTAGCGAAAGCACAACCGCTCAAGTGTGTCTAAGAGATGGCTGTGACGAGGAATTATATAGTCGTGGGGGATGGAGGGAGGGGAGGGGGGCCCACCCCATTCCTCACATCGATGCCTCCCAGTCCACAGCCCGCCCACACACCAGAGGTCGCAAACGGGTACCCGTACCCGGCTGGGTACGGGTAGGGTACGGGTATCGGGTACCTGATTGCGACCTCTGGGATGAAGCCATGTTGCAGGCGCGGGTGGGTTGATTCTAGGAACTTGAATTGTGAGAAGAGACAAGACGTTGGGAAATGAGTGACAAACAGTTACTCACCAGTGACTCACGGCCTACCCGTACCCGTACCCGGCCGCACCAGGGTCGCAAACGGGTACCCGTACCCGGCTGGGTACGGGTAGCCAGGTATCGGGTAGGGTACGGGTATCGGGTACCCGGTTGCAACCTCTGCCACACACTCACCATGGCCCCTCCCCACCCTCCACCCCCCCCCCCCCCCGCGACAATACAGGAGGTCTTAAGATGTTCAAACACAAAATGACGAGGCATCAAGTCTGCATTAACCACACATACTTGTGGTAAAATATGCACACAAATACAGATAGTCCTCGAGTTACGATGGTCCGACTTACGATATTTCGATCTTACGATGGCGATACGCTACGTTCAATGCATGTTAAAAGTTTTTATAGCAGAGAGGATTGTTTCCTGAAAAAAACTTTCTATTAAATTGCAGTTCATATAGAATTTACCTTGTTTTTTTTTACTTTTCATTTTACTGTGCAATACAGTATTGTAATTAATAAATACATACAGTATATAGTTTATACAGCACGGTACTGTAAATTGCTCTGTTTTGCTAAATTATTACCGTTCTTTAAGACTCCTGGGTAGGCTATAGGCCATCTTCGACTTACGATATTATCGACTTACGATGGGGTCGTCGTAACGCCTGTATTTCTTACGTACAGATTACTGTTGAACTTCTTTCGCACCGTACTTAGCCAACCGTGCTAATCGGAGGCGCGGTGAAGGACAACAAACTAAACACAAAAATACCCTGGGGGATTGAAGGGTCGAGTCAACCCTTGATTAGGACTCGAACCCACAATTTTTACACGCACATTGGCATCTTTAGGGTTCCGGTGGCCTAGGTGTGGTGGCTATGCACAGCTGTGATGCAACGCGTAGGAGTCGAGGGTTGTGGTGAAGCACAGGAATGTGAGACACTCCCTCAAAACCAGCTTGGCTGTCAGGTGGTGACTGGGAGATTATGGTACAGAAGGTGGTTCATCTCTGCATGATTATATTCTTATAACATTAAACATTCTCCAGTGTGTACCTGTGGTGATCCAGAACAGCGCGTGCAATATATAACGACGCAATGCCCGATCCACAAGTACGAAAGAGACCTCACAGTGATGATAATACACCACTCCCCTGATGCGGTTATCTGGGTTTGACCACGTGAATTTAAATTGTAGTTGTTGCACCTTCATCAGCAGCATTAATACGAAAGAAGAAGGCTACGTGTGATAGGGTCTTCCAGAATCTAATAATAGGGGTTTTCCCCTTTTTTCTGGCAACAAAACTGAAACCTTTTTACAAATATTCATGTCTGCATTAACCACAATACTTGCAGTCAAAATGCAAACCAAAAATATAACTGATAATATATAATATATAGGGTCTTCCCCCTTTTTTTTCCAGAAAAAGGGGAAAACCCCTATTATTATATTTTGGTACTGGCAAAGAAGGTCTAATGATGTAGCCTTCATTACTTTGATAGTGCATTGTCCTTGAGCTGTAGACGCCTTTTGGCGTCCTCTGGTCGAGCACCAATTGGGTCGAGGCTCAAAAGAAAGCCGTCTCTAGTGTGGACCAATCAGTTTCAAGGACAATGCATTTATTATCATAGTGTGTGTTTTGTTTGCATTACGACTGCAAGTATTGTGGTTAATGCAGACATTAATCAATCCTTGTAAAAAGGTTTCAGTTTTGTTGCCAGAAAAAAGGGGAAAAACCCTATTTTTCGATTTAAAGCTTTGGTGACTGCAGGGTTTCATCTTCTTAGTTCTTTCGGTAAAGTCACGTAGAAGGGAAATAATAAAATAATACAAATAATAAACATAAAACATAATAACATACAATTCTCACGACGTTTTGGCCTCCCTTTATTACTGCTAATCCTACATAATATACGAGCATAATATGACTTTTAGACCCCCCCCCACCACCTACACATTCCACAAGCAGTGACTAATCCCATATCTGCATTTTCCATAAATATGCTAAATTCCTATGTTGATATGTAAATTCCTTTGTCAAGGCGCTCTCCTCCTCTAACCCAGCTTAAATATACGCTGCCCAGCTTGGTGGTGTTCATTCGGACGCTGTCTTTCCGACAGCTGAGGACAGCTGCTTGCGTTGTGGCCGAAACGTCGTGAGAATCATATTTTATTATGTTTTATTATTTTATTATTTCCCTTTTACGTGACTTTACCGAAAGAACCAAGAAGAAAAAAAAAAACCCTTTTCTTATATTTTGGTACTGACAAAGGAGGTCTATTTGATGTAGATCCTTCAGAATCATCGCATCCACAGAACACCTTTTAAAAGTATAAACAGAGTCGGCCCAAGCATCGAATTCAGTGCAGGACCCATTCTGAACAACAGGCCTGAGACTCGGCAAGGCTTTCCTGGACCTTCGAGGAAAAATATAGGTGCAAGTGTATCTTCCTCCCGCCCCCTTCCCCACCTATGCATTTTGAACCAAGATAATAGAATGATTTGACACTGCGTTTGCAGTGGTGCACAAGCACAATCGACCACAGCAACAAACTCAACACATCTGTCGATAATACTTTGGCTTTAAAAGGGAAACAGAGATATTTTTAAAGACAGTAACGATTTGGGTAATGGCTCCTTCGTCATAGCAACATGCATCACGATCTACTCAATCACTTAAAAGCACTGTGTGGGAGTATTTTTTGTTTGTTATTATTAAGACTTTTTTCAATAGAGTCCTGAGCAAGTATTCACGGGAGGGGGTGATGTTACCGGATATAATCCAAATCGTGTAATTTTTCGGTGAGTTTTCAGCCATTGGGATGATGTTTTGGCCCATAACAGTTACATTGAGTGGCTTTTTTTTATCTGCTGCCTGTGGGAACTCACCAAAAAGTCCCGGAGAGAACCTACGCTGGAAAGGGAGAGAATATACAAACTACGCACAGAAAGGTGCCCGAGTTGGGAATGGAACCCAGGAACTTCTTGCTGTGAGGCGCCAGTGTTACCACCCTGCCGCCACCCTACATCCTCATCGGCTCTGTAATGAACCTTTTGTGCTGTCGTGGATGGCAGTGCTTTGTGCAGACAGATCCTTGGCAGGAGGCTTCGGCTAGCACTAATGGGCCGGGAGAGTCCTGCGATAATGATGCTTTGTGTGTGCTTGTCCCAGTTGGCGGTGCAGAGATATTTGTTTCTCTGTCCCATTATGTTTGTTGTTTGTGTAGAAAAAAAAACAACCCCCCCACTGCTTTTCTTTGACAGGTTTGTCTTCTGGGAATGGACGTCCTGGCTGTGTTGGCAGAGCGCTTACAAGAGAAGTTCAAAAACCATCTCAAATCAAGTGAGTTTTTCAGGGGCATGTGCACATTATTCTTCTAGCCTGTGGTACGCGCGTGCAAATTATACGTTCCAGGTTTAAGTTTGTGAGCCACGTGACGATAGCTTCTGGAGTAGTGCAGCTAAATGCTGCCCGGCCCGCCGGAGACCGAGCGTAGAACTTCGTTGTTGGCGACGTTGGTGGTCCATTGCGTGGTTCGGGTGGCCGCAGTCCCTGCACGATGGGGTCATCTTTCACGTCCCGCGTGTGGATGAAGCGTTAGCGAGCAGCAGCAGCGGCAGGCGGCGAGCGGTCGCCGTTGTGAAGCGGTTGATGATGAAGTTTCCTTGGCAGAACAGAGCCCTGCGGGGTTGTGGTGTGAGGCCCCCAATGAGGCTTTAACTCAGAACCTCAGAACTCCACAGCGTTCGCCAGCGGTCTTCAGTGGGTGCAGCCTATGTATGACCCAATATGAGCCCCGGTGATTTGGAGCCTGGAGAGTGTTTGGAGGGGTGACCGCCACTAATCTCTCTCCATATATACACGTAAATCATTCTCGCATGTGTCTGTCAGTCTGTCCGACCATCCATCCATTTGTCACGCTCTGGATATGCCAGCGGTACCTGGCAGGAACACGCGTGCAAAATACCGAAACGTAATTCTCTCGCCGAGGACATTCCCGGGGAAATTGTTTAAAAAGTTCCGTGAACATCTTCTTGGTTCTTTCGGTAAAGTCACGTAGAAGGGAAATAATAAAAATATAACAGCATCTGCTGTCTTTCCGACAGACCTGTTCTTCACCTGAGGACGGCTGCTTGCGTTGTGGCCGAAACGTCAGTGAGAATTGTATTTTATTATGGTTTATATTTATTATTTAATTATTTCCCTTCTACGTGACTTTACTGAAAGAACCAATAAGATGAATCCCTGCAGTCACGAAAGCTTTAAATCGAAATTTCGTGAACATCCCATCGCCGCACGTCCTCTCGGCGTTTGAATTGTAGCGAGGCTAAAATGACCCCGTTGGTGCCTCCAAGTGTGTAAGTTAATTGCCTTGGTTTTTGCCTGCCAGTAATTTTTTTGTTGCCGACGCTGAGGTGTACGGTTGTGTGTTCGTCCTCGTGTGGCAGTCGTGCCCGTGCTGTTGGACCGGCTCGGAGACACCAAGGACCAGGTTCGAGACCAGACACAGACTCTCCTGCTCGCCTTGATGGAGCAATGCGCACCCCCGCAGGTATTTCTTCTTTCTTAAAAAAAAAATTCTTTCACTTGTTCATTGAAACGTTTCACCTTTGTTGATCTCTTGAGGGTGGAATGCAACTTGTATACAGTCGTGTGCGAGTGTGTGTGTGTGTTTGTGTGTTTTTTTTAAGTACAGTTCTTCAATGGTCAGAATGAGACCTGCCCTCCCATCGGCTAAATCTTGTTACACCGTGTAAGAACCAGATTGCATCTTTTGTCACTGAAAGAGATTCCGCGTATACGGATTTAGCCTTTTAGATTTTATTTATTTCAGCTGGAGGTGCCCAATCAGCTGACAGTATACGCATGTACGTACGTATGTTGAACTTCTTTCGCGCCGTACGTAGCCAACCGTGCTAATCGAAGGTGCGGCGGGAATGAAAACAAACTAAGCATAAAAAGCATTTCTGAGTTAAAGAGTTTTCAATCTTGATTTGGGCCCGAATTTCATGGGCGTCCTGTGACGGTACAAATGTTACACAGTACGGATCATAGTTACAGTCATTGTTACGTAGGTCGCAATACAACCAGCAAGATATCGAGTGATAATGATGAGCTTGCTAATCATAATAACAACAACAACAAGAATGTATTACATTTGTTATTGGCGCCATCATGGAGGAAGGTGACGCGTTTTCGCGGGCGGTTGTCGCCCCGCTGGGCACGCTCACTGCGTGCGGTCCCAATCCGAGTAACTGTTGGGGTCGATTCTCCACCCGTTCCAGTTTGTTTGGGAGCGGCTGGTGCCGGGATTCAAGCACAAGAACAACCGTGTGCGGGAGGGCACCTGCCTGTGCCTCACCACCACCGTCAGCACGTACGCAGCCGCCCGCAGCCTCCCCCCCGCGCCCCCCTCTCCCACGTTCACAGGGGTTTTCATCATTTTTGGGACGGTCTTCGGTTCTTTCTTTAATCTCGCCTGGTATATAGAAGGTCGTAGGTTCTATCCCGACCCTGACTCCTGCTGTATGTTTGTATTCTTGGTTCTTTCGGTGAAGTCACGTAGAAGGGAAATAATTAAATAATAAATAATGAAACATCATAACTACCTCGCCTGGTATACAGGAGGTCATGGGTTCAATCCTGACCCTGACGATGCCTGCTGCTGTTTGCGACACGCATTTTTATTCACGCGATTTGACCCAATAAAGCAATTACGAATCGTAATATCTTGTTGCTTCCCGGGAGCTAAATAAATACTCGGACAAACAGTACCGCCGCCTTCCCACGTTTGTCTCTGCAACGTAATATTTGTAACATTTTAATTCTGATTGCCGGATCCCCACGGGCCACACCGCGTTCTGGGAGGGCATTTTGACAGCAGCATAATTTTGGTTTGCGACAGGCAAACCCTGGGACAAGTTCCAACAATCAGTGTCTCATCCAGCACCTCCCTGAAGATCGTGTGGCTTGATGGGATGTGTGGGAAGGAAAAAAAATGACCTCCGCGTTTGTTTTGGGGGAGAGAGGCACGTTCACCGCTGATTTGTTTCATTACTTAAAATTTCCGACAGGGACGCTCGTGATGATTCTGGTTTTTTGTTTTGTTTTCTTCAGGTTTGGGGCCAAGTGCCTGACCCTCAGCAAAATGGTCCCCTTCCTGTGTAGCCTCTTGGAGGACGCCAATGGCCAGGTAATCCCTCCTACTGGGGGTTTAAAATCAAACTTCATCAGCGATCGCCTTCATCATCGGCGGCAGCGGCCACGATCGTTCGATTCCCGGACGGCGGCTGCCTCAAGCCGCAGCATTCTGTGACACGCTCCTCCCCAGCGCAACTTAAAATCAAGCTTGATGATCAAGACGATCATCAGCGATCGTCTTGATCATCGGCGGCAGCGGCCACGATCGTTCGACTCCCGGACGACGGCCTCCTCAATACCGCAGCCTTCTGTGACACGCTCCTCCCCAGCGCAACTTGCAACCTCCCTCCTGTCTACGCCGAGGACTGGGAGCCTCGCTGCCTGGCGCTCTGCTCTGTCTGCGTGGCAGCCCCCGCCATCTGCAGTAGTAACAGCAGCAGCAGCGTTCACTCTACACCGACGTTTAAGAGACACTTAACCCTTTCCTCTGATTCCGTTCCGATGATGTAAGTCTACGTTATCAGTTATTTTTCTGATTCCGTTCGGCCACGCGGGGAGGGTGTGTGGCACAGTTTGGCACCAGCTATCACAGAGTGCGGTCAGTGTCGCTACAGTTCTCTGCGGTGAGTACAGTGTCTTTAAAAACAGCGGTGCTACTACGCCTCTCCAAATAAAATTAACGCTGTTCCATTGGTCCCCTTTCCGAGATTCAGCGGCGAACGGGACCCCCCCCCCCCACCCTGCCAACTTCCAGACGTTTCGGAAATGGGAAGGGGTCGAAAGGTCCCACCCTCTCTCTAACCTGGCATTCAAACGACCACCGGGTTTGGCTGCGCACCTCAGATTCAACGGTCATCTCCATCCGTGAAATATTGTGCGCGTAAAAAAAAAAGTGTATCGTATGCTCTTTGGGTCTTTCGGTAAAGTCACGTATAAAGAGAAAATAATAAATTAAATTATTTTCTATTATATATTATTTTCTCTTTATACGTGACTTTACCGAAAGAACCAAAGAGTAATTCCTGCAGTCACGAAAGCTCCAAATTAAGTTTGTATTGTATGCACGTATGTTGAACTTCTTTCGCACTGTACGTAGCCAACCGTGATAATTTGAGGTGCGGGAGAAGTACAACAAACTAAACACAAAAATTAGCTCCAAAGAAGTTGGTTTTCAGTCAAGATTTCAAAGTGCAGAGCTCCAGTGGCTTCCTAATATCGGAAGGAAGACCGTTCCAGACGGCCGCAGAAGCGCATCGGAAAGCGCGCGATGATGCGGTGACCGTCTTTGTTTGATGGTTAGCCAAAAGATGCAGCTGTGAGGATGACCAGAGTCCGTGTGATGGGATCAGCGAGGTATTGTGGTTAATTTGTTGCAAACACTTTGTGTGTGTGTGTGTAACGAGCGCCAGCTTACAAAGTATTCGTTCGTGTCGACTTCTTTAATCGCTGCCGTCTCTGCGGTGTAACGTGCGACCTCCTGGAAGAAGTGTTCCCCTGATCCCGTCTGTCGCCTCGGTCAGCTGGCTGCGCTGCTATTGGTCAAGACGCTTAACAGTGGCCACCACCGGCACATTTCGCTCCTGGGGCTGCGTGAGCGCGGCTCCCACGTGGATTGACAAGGCGAATTATCTTCGTCCCCAGTCTGGTGTCGGTGGACACAGTGGAGGGTTCACGTCGCTGCTTTCGTAATCCGATGAGAAGTCGCACCCATTCGACCGCCCTCCCCCCCACGTAGCGTGATGAGGTTGCTGATTAGTGGTTTACACCACTAATCAGCAAGGAAGTGGCATCTGAAATGCCTGCTCGTGCTGGGTGTGGTCGCGTAGATTAGTAGCTCGCTGCGGCGCCCGTGACCTGTGGCACCTGCTGCCGCCTGTTGGTGACGAGCGTTTCGATGTCCGACGTTCCGCGACAAGGCTCTTGCCGGGGACGGCTTCTTGGGCGGCTGAACTCCTCGGTTCGGCGCGCGACAGAAACGTCGGGCGTCGTCGCGAGCTACGCACGGTACAACCGGAGAGCCGTATGGCACAACCGCGAAAATCCGCGCCGTTGTTTCATCCACGCCGGTTTAAGTAATTTACGAAGGCCAACAACGCCGATTTTTTTCAACGCTAGAGTGAGCGATCAACGCTTCGACAGCAGAACATGTTTACGAGAGCGTCTTGTTTACTTGTGCAAAAATGGAACAATGTTGAAAAAATAAAATAAACCCCTACAGAAATGTAACCGTTAAAGTTGATGTCATGCAACAAGAGCGAGAAGTGAATGAAGCCAGGCTTAGGGATCTCATTTGCGAGGGTGACCTGACTCACAAAGATGACATTGTAACGAGGATACACCTGCAAGTTTATGCGCACGCGCAAATGCATCTTCCCCTTTCGTTTTATGGTCATTACACAAACAACAACAAAAAAAACAACCCTAAGAGGACTGTTGTAAAATATCGAACGTATTTTGCCCTTGTAACGGCTTTTTTTTTTTCCCTCCGCCGTGTGCACGTGGATTTGTGTTTACCCAGGTGCGGGACGCAGCGTTGGGCAGTCTGGTGGAAATATACCGGCACGTCGGCGAGAAAGTTCGCGCCGACCTGGCCAAGGGCAAGGGAATCCACCAGGCTAGGTACGCGTACACCCCTCCCTCCCCCTGGGGCTTGCCGCCTCAACAACGACAACAAAAATAATTAACATTCATCCGTAGATCTCAATGAGCCACCCGTGTATGGAAAGCCAGGAAGTTAACAGAACCAGCTGGGTAAACGGGCAGGACCAGTAGGGGGAGTGGGGGTAAAGGCGAGGTTACCCACTCGCTCGCCCGCCCGCTCGCCCGCCCGCTCGCCCACTCGCCCGCCCACTCGCTCGCCCACTCGCCCGCCCGCTCGCTCGCCCACTCGCCCGCCCGCTCGCTCGCCCGCTCGCTCGCCCGCTCGCGCGCTCGCTCGCCTACTCGCTCCCCCACTCGCTCGCCCGCTCGCTCGCCCACTCGCTCGCCCACTCGCTCGCGCACTCAATTGTCTACTTGCTCTCTCATCCCCTCGCTCAGAACCAGGATAAGACGTCTAGAAATAGTGTGGCGGGGGGTAAAGGACAGTTTATTTGCCCACTCAGTATCCTTCCGCACATTCAAAACACCGCTTAAACGGTGCACCGCATACTGGGCCCTCTTGAAAACAAATTTTGTATTTTTTTTATTGTGGATGCATCGTGAGGTGGTCACCCTTTAAAAGGTTTATTTTTAGAACCCTTTTCACGAACAGCAGGACCGCGCGTGTATGTGTGCGTGTTTGTGTGTGCGTGCGTGCGTGTGTGAGCGTGTGTGAGCGTGCGTGCGTGTGCGTGCGTGTGCGTGCGTGCGCCGCGTGCGTGTGTGCGTGCGTGTGTGCGTGCGTGCGTGAGCGTGCGTGTGTGAGCGTGCGTGCGCCGCGTGCGTGTGTGTGTGCGTGTGTGTGCGTGTGTGTGCGTGTGCGTGCGTGCGTGTGTGAGCGTGTGTGAGCGTGCGTGCGCCGCGTGCGTGTGTGCGTGCGTGTGTGCGTGCGTGTGTGAGCGTGCGTGTGTGAGCGTGCGTGCGCCGCGTGCGTGTGTGTGTGCGTGTGTGTGCGTGTGTGTGTGCGTGTGTGTGTGTGTGTGCGTGTGTGTGCGTGTGTGTGCGCGCGCCTCGTGCGTTCACTCCGAGCTCGTGTGCACTCTTTACGCGTGACCCACTTTTCCGTGCGCTAACGCGATGCGACGCACACAGCGCCCCCCCCCCCCTCGCAGCCACTTTGATCGCTCCCGTTTCGTTTCTTGGAAAGTTCTCGCTCGCTCGTTCTCTAACACAGTTCCTATGATCACTGTTTCATTGCTTTTATGGCTTTATTTTGGTGATTTTCGAAAAGTGTATTGGTTTGGCCATGTTTGTTTGTTGTAGTACAGAGTTAGACTGATGGCCTTAATCTAAGTTGTCTTGTGGTTGTTGTTGTTTGACTTGCATCCCACTGGGATTTTGCACACAGCGTTGGTGTACGGTGCTTTTTCTGCAATATTTTGCTGTCTTTTCTTGGATTTTTTGTTTGCACATAGTCACTTTAAGATGGTTTCTTGTTCATGTTTTTGTTTTCTGTTTTATTGCGGTTGCACCCGATTCAAGAGCCGAATGGCTCACAGGGCTACATCAAATAAATGAACTTGAACTTGAACTCTGTCTACAGAGTCATGCCAAGGAGTCGGGCGACGGCGGCGTTGTTGCCGTTGTTGCTGCACGACGTCTCGCCCGGCTGCCTTGGTCGTGGTCGGATTGCTAGAAACAGCGTCGTCATCCTCGGATAGGCCAGCTAATTAATTATTAGCGTCTTCATCCCCCCACCCCCCGAAACGTGACCTAATTAATTAATTATTCGTGTCGCGATCCCTGGATACGCGAGCTCATTAATTCATTATCAGTGTCGTCATCCCTAGATACGGGAGCCAATGAATCACGAGTTGAATTTATTTAGTCTCCAGTGTTGCCTTTGTTTACCTGCTCATTAAGTAGAGAAATCACAGCATGCAAAGTGAAAGTTTCCGCCCTGCAATTGGTTGCTCACGCCACTGCTGGCGGAAGGGTGCCCGCTGCAATAAGCCCTCGATACACCGCTCAGGCGGGTATTTGGCCTACTCTTCCACGGGGGTGGGAGTGCCCACGCTTTAACGCCATCGCTCGCGATCCTCCGCTGGACAGGAACAGCGGTGTGAGTGTTTTTATTCCACCCGCCGCATCACAGACCGAAAGTTTGCACCGCGGCGATGCATAACACTGGTCAACACACTTTTTCTGGCATAAGGTATTCCAACGGTTTTAAGGTAATTTTGGGGTGCTGATTCCAAATCTGTCTATCACTTCAGGTCTTTGAGATATCAAATATTGCATTTTCAATAAAAACTGCAGAAGAAAAATATTAAATAAATGTGGATATCTACATAAAATTATATTATAAACACACTATCCTAAAAATACAGCACCATATTTTAACACTAAAGCAGTCACTGACTCGCAATAACTTGCAATCATAAGTGACAGCGTTAATTTCGGGTAAAATCAATGAAAATGGGGTATGCCGATAGCATAAAAATGAGATATGATAGAGCAAATCTGAGATAAGATTTGGAATCAGCACCATGAAATTAGTCTAAAACAGCTGCAAAAGTCCAGGCCAGAAATTTTTTTATTTTTTGTTGTTGACCAGTGTAATCAACCAAACAATAAAGCTGACCCAGCAGCGAACGGGCAGAGGGGTGAAAATCCGTTATCATGTTTTATTTTCAAGGACAAATACTACTACTACTACGAATAATAGTAAGCAATTTATACTTAAGCTTCCAGCCTCGCTGGTCACGTGGCCTCAACGTGTACTCTCTGATATCGTCTTCAGGGGGGGTACACGTGCGCTGGTTTTACGAACGCCTCTGCTACGTCACGGCGTTGTACGCTCGATAAGAATTCGCAATTGGTAATTTTTATTTGGGTCGGATCTCGTTAAGTAAAATGTGCGGCGTACCACCCTCCTCCGCCCGCGCGCAGCCGATTTAAAATAAAGTCGTCGCGCGATAAACATACGCGCCGATTTGTCGCTGCCAGGGCAGCGTCGGCGTTGCTGGAGAGCGACCGGCACGCGTGAAACGATTGGGCGGAGCACGAGAGGGTGTACGACACGCATTCCACTTACGCGATCCGGCGACAAAATATTATCCAATCCCGAAACGCCCTGTTGGTCGCGAAAGTCCTTTGTGTGTTACATTTACACGACGAGATACGTGTGCGCGCTCTCTGCAGGCTCAACTCCCTGTTCGCCAGATTCGATGAAGTTCAGAGCTCTGGTACCATGATTGCTTCAGCAGGTATGAGAGAGTTTGATGGCTACAGATGCACACTTTACCCCCCACCACCCCACCGCAAAGAAGGGCTGGGTTCAATTCCCGACTGTCTCCAGCAGTCCGGTAAAGGCTCCGCCGCGGGGACCTTTCTCTTTGCCAGGCAAGAGCTTCGAGGACGACGATTCGGTGGACGGGAACCGCCCCTCCTCTGCCAGTTCCACCTCTTCCCGGACTCCGGCTCCTCGGCGCGCCACCTCCTCCTCTTCAGCCCGGGTTTCCAGCGCCGCCTTCAGCAAGACCCCTGCTGGTACGGGCGACGCGGCCGGCCTCGACGCGTGAAGTCACGTCAGAGGTCGCAACCGGGTACCCGATACCTGTACCCTACCCGATACCCGGCTGCCCGTACCCGGCCGGGTACGGGTACGGGTACGGGTACCCGTTTGCGACCCTGGTGCGGCTGGGTACGGGTAGACCGTGAGTCACTGGTGAGTCACCGTTTGTCACTCATTTCCCAATGTCTTGTCTCTTCTCACAATTCAAGTTGCTAGAATCAACCCACCCGCGCCTGCAACATGGCTTCATCCCAGAGGTCGGAATCGGGTACCCGATACCCGTACCCTACCCGATACCCGGTCGGGTACAGGTAGCCAGGTATCGGGTAGGGTACCCGTTTGCGACCCTGGTGCGGCTGGGTACGGGTAAGGAATCAAAACTCGTTTGCGACCTCTGAGTCACGTCGACCGGAGCGACGAGGCGCTGACGTAATCGCCCGCCGAAAGGGGCCACGGTGGCGGGATGTTAGCTCCCTCGCCTGGTATACAGGAGGTCGTGGGTTCTATCGCGACCCCGACGACACCTGTGTATTTGGAGCTTGCGTGTCTCTCTCTCTCTCTCCACGTGGTCGCGTGGATCTTTATCCGGGTCCTCTGGATTTTTTCCCTCTACGTCTCGAATCGACATCACGCATTTAAAGCATTTGGCCGCTATAAATGTCCACACTATGAGCCCCTTCGTTGAGCTATGATTTATGGCAGCCAGTGTCTCTTCTGAAAAAGATCTGCATAGCTCAGTTGTGCCTTGCTTAGTAAAATAAAAAAATGGTCTTCTTGGTTCTTTTGGTAAAGTCACGTAGAAGGGAAGCAATAAAATAATAAAAATAAAACATAATAAAATAATTTTCACGACGTTTCGGCCACAACGCAAGCAGCCGTCCTTGTTTTATTTTTATTATTTTATTGCTTCCCTTCTACGTGACTTTACCGAAAGAACCAAGAAGATGAATCCCTGCAGTCACGAAAGCTTTAAATCGAAATTAAAAAAAATGGTTTTCGTTTTATCGAGCGGGAGGATTTGAAGCGGGGTGTCCCGTGTCGGTCGACCGTTTGCAGCGGCTTCCAAGGAAGGAGCCGGCGCTGTGGACGAGGACGACTTGACGCGCGTGTTTGAAGAAGTCGCTCTGGTGCACGTGAGTGAACTTGACGCATCTTTGGGGGGGGGGGGGGGCTTGAACACCTCCCTGTATTAACGCCTCCTCTATCTCTCTCGCTCATTATTGTTGTTGTTGTCATGGAGAAGGGTAAGAAGCAGCCGTTTTTTTTTCATCATCTTGATACAGTAAAACCTTGGATCGCGAGCATAATTCGTTCCGGAAAACGTGTTTGTAATTCAAAGCACTCGTAGATCAAAGCAACTCGTACATCGGTTGTGATCACGTGACGCTCGGTAGATAAAGGGTACACACGTACTACTCGTATTGCAAGACCTCGCTCGTTTATCAAATTATTATTTATTTACAAATTTTGCTCATCTTGCAAAACACTCGCAGACCAAGTTACTCGCAATCCAAGCTTTTACTGTACTGGGAAAAAAGGGTCCCGTAAATATAGCTGCTTAACCCGAGCTGATTTAATTTATTTTTCACTTTTTGTATTTTTTTTTTATTTTCACTTACGTGACTTTACCGAAAGAACCAAAGGGTATGGATCCTTGCAGTCGAGCTATTCATGCTTTGGCATTTGCATTGTCCTTGTACTGCTCGCCTTTTGGTAGCCTTGGCCCTCCAGCACCGGTGAGAGACAAGGCCATGCAAGAGGCTACGTACGTACTTTGAGCTTCTTCCGTGGCCGTAAGTAGCCAACCGTGCTAATTGGAGGTTGCGGTCTTGTAGGTGCACTCCAGCCGGGAGCTGGAAGAGTCCATCAGCGGTATCCGTGACGTGCTGTGCGACGACAAGAACGACTGGGAGCAGCGCGTCGCAGCGGTGAGAGTGACCAGTGTTTGCGCCGCGTATCAATGCCGCACCTACCCCTCACCCCGAGATTGTCCGCGACGATCGTCACCACCGCGTCCGGATTTTTCATCCCGTGCGGCAGGTCCGGACGGCAGCATTAAGGCCGCTGATTGAGTCGGCCTTGGTTTTAGGTGCGCTGTGTGTCCTGCGAGACGCAATTACACACCTGTCAACCCCTTATCAGTACCTTATCACAGACCAATTCAGACCTCATTGGTCACCCCGTGCCCTTATACATCTCAACGTTCATCCTGCAAAGTCCACCACAAGGGAGAAACACAAACAAATAGACACAAAAAATGTTCTAGATTTGAAGCTTTCGTGACTGCAATGATTCATATTCTTAGGTTTTTTCGGTAAAGTCACGTAGGTAAAAAACATTAAAAAGTAAAATAAAATAAAAATCACGACGTTTCGGAGGCAACACAAGCTTCCGTCTTCAGGTGGTACCGTCACAGCCACGACAGCTGTATCAAGTAAATGAGAGATTGCAGAAGCCACCACTCCTCCAACCATTATATAAACGGAGTGGTGGCTTCTGCAATCTCTCATTTAATTGATACAGCTGTCGTGGCTGTGACGGTACCACCTGAAGACGGAAGTTTGTGTTGCCTCCGAAACGTCGTGATTTTTATTTTTTTTATTTTATTTTACTTTTTAATGTTTTTTACCTACGTGACTTTACCGAAAAAACCTAAGAATACAAAAAATGTTGCCCGTATTGAAACGGCTGTACGCCATATGGACCTGCAAACTCAATTTGCCTGCACAAGAATACGGGGTTAAACTGTACGGCTTGACATTCATGCAATACTTTTTTTTTTATTGCCGTTGTCTTGTGCGCATTGTTGAGATGCAGTTTTGCGTGAGTGACGCTGTATTGAAATCAATTATGATTTGTATTAATTGACCTGAAAATTACTCAGTTGTGAAGACGCATGATAATCACCGCACCCCGCTGTACGTATGTATAGATACTCTTAGGTTTTTTCGGTAAAGTCACATAGGTAAAAATAAATAATAAAAACAATAGAAATAAAAATAATAGAAATAAAATAATAAATCACGACGTGTCAAGTAAATTGAGCTGTGACGGTCCCACCTGATGACGGAGACTTGTGTTGCCTCCGAAACGTCGTGGTTTATTATTTTATTTCTATAACTTTTAGTTCTCGTATTATTTTTTATTTTTTACCTACGTGACTTTACCGAAAAAACCTAAGAATATGAATCCTTGCAGTCACGAAAGCTTCAAATCTAGAAGTATGTATAGATGTTGAACTTCTTTCGCACCGTTCGTAGCCAACCGTGCCAATCGGAGGTGCAGACTGCGCCTGAACCATCGCGCCTTCGTGATGGTAGCCTTGCGCCATGTGAACGGCGCTAACACCACCACTGCACCCACGGCAGAGGTCGCAAGCGGGTTTTGATTCCTTACCCGTACCCGGCCGCACCAGGGTCACAAATGGGTTTCCCGTACCCGTACCCGGCCGGGTACGGGTAGCCGTTCCCTACCCGTACCCTACCCGAAATGAGTGACAAACGGTTACTCACCAGTGACTCACGGCCTACCCGTACCCGTACCCGGCCACACCAGGGTCGCAAACGGGTACACGTACCCGGCCGGGTACGGGTAGCCGGGTATCGGGTAGGGTACGGGTATCGGGTACCCGGTTGCGACCTCTGACCCACGGTCTCATTTCTCCGCACGATAAACGCCGTCCAGTCCATTTCGGCCTTTTTATCCTGCGTGGAGCCAGGCGTACAACTGCACATCGGCTCAACTCGTGCGATCTTCAGGCTTCTGCCCAGCAAACATTGATTTCATCCCCGTTCGTCGGCCACCCAATCATGCTTATCTTGGTTCTCCAATGTAACCGCGCTTAACGATGGTAAAAAACAATGTCAACATTCATCTGGGGCGTGCAAATCGCTGAAGCGGGGAGCATTGGTTGAACCTTAATGTACGCATGTTTTTTTAAATCTATAAATTATTGATAAAGCACCTGTCTCTAAGAATATACATTTTTTATACGGTAGTCTTTCTTGGAAGGGAGGTAGAATGATAATAGTACCATAAGCAGTATCCTCAATGGTGGACACTGCCCATGATGGTGGACACTGCCCATGATGGTGGACACTACTCATGGTGAATACCACCCATGGTACACACTGCCCATGGTGGACACTGTCATGGTGGACACTGCCCATGATGGTGAATACTGCCATGGTGGACACTTCCTTTGATGGTGGATACTGCCCATGATGGTGGACACCACCTATGGTGGACACTACCCATGGTGGACACTACCCATGGTAGACACTTCCTTTGAAGGTGGACACTGCCCTTGATGGTGGACACCGCCCATGATGGACACTGCCACGGTGGACACTTTTTAACGGTGGACACTTGTAACAATTTCCAACATAACTAGTTACTACGGGCCCAGACCTCCCCTTTCGGCCCATGGGCCAGAAGCCAGGCCCCCCTCTCCGTCCCGCGCGAATCGCCCCCCCCCCCCCCCTCGCGTGTCGTTGCGTGTCGTTTTGCGCGCAGCTGAAGAAGCTGCGGGGCTTGCTGCTGGCGGGAGCGGCAGAGCAGGACTCCTTCCCCGGCCACCTGCGCCTGCTGGAGCCGGCGTTCAAGCTGTCGGCCAAAGACCTGCGCTCGCAGGTGGTGCGGGAGGCCTGCATCACGCTCGGGTACGGCTCTATTCACGCGCCCGCCCACCCCTCCGTACGTCCGTCTGTGCCGTCACCGTCGTCGCTTCCCCGTTTTTTGCCAGACGCAAAATCCCCTCCCTCTCTCTCCCACCCCTCACCCCGCGCGCTTGCAATTTTTGGGTTGACTTGCGTTCGCCAGCGCTGTTGTGGAGAGCTATTTTGTGTCGCGCGACGTGTTGTTTTCTGCGTCGAACTTGGATCCTAAAGAGAGAGAGGGTCACCTTCTTGTAAACATCTGGCAGTTCGCCGCCCACTGATCCAAGCAAGTCTGCGTCTGCTGATGCGACACTGATCGTCGACGCCGGTCCAGAGTTTTGCTTGTGCCGAATCAATGCCGTGGGGTTGATAGGGTTGTGTAAAAACACGACACTCTGATTGTTATCCTAAAGAAAGGAGGTCCCTGCCTATGAACAACTAGAGTTTTGCTTGTCCTGAATCAATGCTGCTGAATTTATGCACACACAGAAGGCCACAGGGGCTGATGGGTCATCTAATCGGATCAATCGGCTTATCTATTTCCCCATTGTGTTCACTGTTTCGTATGATGCCTGCCACGTGTTAATATAATTTTGTGTCGAACTAGGATTGTTATCCTAAAGAAAGAAGGTCCCTGCCTATGAGCATCTCGAGTTTTGCTTGTCCTGAATCAATGCTGCTGAATTTATGCACACCTAGAAGGCCACAGGGGCCGATGGGTCATCTAATCGGATCAATGAAGGATGTTTATTGCCGGCTTATCCATCTCCCCATTGTGTTCACTGTTTCGTATGATGCCAGCCACCCATGCCTAGCCTTCATCGGTGTTGCTCGCTAACAGCAATTGGCCCAACCGTCTGTTCAGGCTATACATGTGATCTTCGTCTTTAAATGTGTATCCCGTGTCCTTTTCAGTGGCTTGTTCCGCGCGTGCAATGCACTGTTGTAACGAGGATGCAATCGCGGCTGGCGCGTGATCAGGTACTTCTCAACCGTGCTGGGCAACCGGTTCGATCACTGTGCCGAGACTCTCATGCCCACGCTCTTCAACCTGGTGCCCAACAGCGCCAAGGTCATGGCTACCTCCGGGGTGGCTGCCATCCGCCTCATCATACGCGTGAGTGCCCTTGAACGGGAAGGGTTTAACAGACTCTTTGGTCTTTTCGGTAAAGTCACGTAGGTAAGAAAATCAAATGAAATAAATGAAAACAACTAAATTAAATCAGTGATTTAATTTAAATTACATCGGTGACAACTAAATTAAATCAGTGATTTAATTTAGTTGTTTTCATTTATTTTATTTTATTTTTTTACCTACGTGACTTTACCGAAAAAACCAAAGAGTATGAATCCTTGCAGTCACGAAAGCTTCAGATCTTCAAGGGTTTAACAGTTGAGTGCGTGTAGGAATGTAACAGGAGGTTTGTGGGTTTGATCCCGACCCTGTGGGATGTTAACTACCTCACCTGGTATACCGGCGGTTGTGGGTTCCATCCCGACCCTGTGGGATGTTAACTACCTCGCCTGGTATACAGGAGATTTGTGGATTCCATCCCGACCCTGTGGGATGTTAACTACCTCGCCTGGTATACAGGCGGTCGTTGGTTCCATCCCGACCCTGTGGGATGTTAACTACCTCGCCTGGTATACAGGAGGTTTGTGGATTCCATCCCGACCCTGCGAGATGTTAACTACCTCACTTGGTATACAGGAGGTTTGTGGATTCGATCCCGACCCTGCGAGATGTTAACTACCTTACCTGGTATACAGGTGGTCGTGGATTCGATCCCGACTCTGACGCCTGTATAACTGCAGTTTTGCATGTTCTCCCCGTGGTCGCGTGGGTTTTTCTCCGGGCCCTCCGATCGTTTAAGGGCGCTATAAACTTGCACGTGATGATACGCCGCTTCGCCGAGCAGTCATTGGTGATAGATAGCCAAGTCTCCTCTGAAAAATAGTTACACAGCAGCTCAGTGAGAAGGGGGGGGGGGACCTTACCTGGTGAGCAAATTTCGTTGGAGAACGTTCACCTCCTTGTGATCTCCCGACAGCACACGCACACGGCGCGGCTCATCCCGCTCATCACCAGCAACTGTTCTTCCAAGTCTGTGGCCGTTCGACGGTGAGCTTTTCCTCTGCCGCCCTCCGACGCCGCCGCCGCCACCACCGCGCCGGTGTTCCTGCCGGGCCGCGCCGTGCAGATGCCGGACGCAGGCTGGCTGAGGACATTGTCTGTTCGATTTTAGTTTTTTGTCGCGTGGAGAGGCAGAGGCCCAGCGTCCGGTTGTGTGTTTGTCGAACTTTTGAGTCGTCATGTCTGATGGTGCAAAGTGTACGTCGCATGCTTTCTCGGTGGATTGTAGGAATCTTCTTCTTTCGTTTGGATTGATGTAGACGCAGAGCAACAACGGCAATTTCACATTCAGGTGGTCAATCCCAGACACGGCCGCGTCAGGGGCAGTGTTTCGCTGTTACGTCTCCTTGGTATTTGTGGATCGGGCATTGCGTCGCGATGTATTGTACAGTCTGTTCTGGACGACCACAGTCGCACACTGGAGAGTTTTCCATTTGGGCATCGGGTACGCTCATCTGCGATGGTTTGTGCATTGAATGCGGTTTAGGGTGGACCATGAGCTTCGGGGCAGATAAAAACCGGGCATCTTCTGCGTGGGGAATGATGAATGTGCTCGTAGATAATTAAATAAATACCCCGGCATGGTTGTGTTTATTTACCAAAACAACACTAACCTCGAGCTCCATTAGCCTGCTTTTGCGTTTAGCAGCATTTTTTTGGGCCTGTTTGGCAAATGCCATTGAGTTGCCAGGTGTTCTAGGCAAGACAGGTCCACGAATACATTGGGGTGGGGGGCTTGGCAATGCGTTACAGCGGCATTGTGTAATATCTACACAATGGCCCTTTCCTGGGGAATTCATAACATAGATGCGCTGAGGCCCAGTGAGGGCTTTTTATGTTGAAACACCGTTTGTTAATGCAACACGTACTAGGCTTTCGCGACCAATATCCATAATAGAGGTTTGTTGGGTTGGATCGTGTAACTATAAATGCCTCGTTAAACCCACCACCATCCGACACAGCCAATTAGTAAGGTTTGTCACGTAAACAGAACATGGCCAATTCGTTACTATTGCAGCCGGAGGACCCCAGAGCGTAGCCAGAGTAGTGTATCTAGGCTGTGTACCTAGGCTGTGTACCTAGGCTGTGTACCTAGGCTGTAACAGAGTATCAGGACTGTTGGAGTTCTGTATTGTAATAAAGAAGTTACCTCTACAAGTGTCTCCGGAACCCATTACACTAGTACAGCACCACCGGTTGTGTGTTGGAGAGCAAACCCACAACTCGAATTGTAGATGTAGGATTCCGTGACGAACCTCACTAATTGGCTGTGTCGGGTGGTGGCGGGTTTAACGACACATTTACAAGTTCTAACCCAAAAAAAAACCTCTGCGATGGACCATTTGTTAACACCACACTAACAGTCTGACTCCGACCACTCTCGCACGACGATATTTGTGTTTGCTACTCCGCAAATACTGGAGGAAGTCCACAACTCTTCCTATCACTGTGTGGATCACAGGTTCACTGGAAGGGATCTCGGAGGGTAGTTCTCCGACATCCACTTCCGTAGCCCCGTTCCGTGACGCGTCGCTGCGCGAGGGTTCCCAATGGATAACCTCGTCTCGAGACGTTGACGCCGATAGCCACGGTCGGGTTGAAAGAGCAACGGGATTTCTCGTCGTGTTGATTCCTTACGTGAAAATGTAATTCCATGCAAATGCATCGAAGAGGGCTCGTAAGCTGTCATTTACGTTCGATTTCTTCGGTTGTGACTCGGTGTGATCTGTTGTGGCTTGTTTCTTAAAGGAGATGTTTTGAGTTCATGGACCTGTTGCTACAAGTCTGGCAGATCAGCTCGCTTGAGCGGTAAGTCTTCATGAAAGTTGGCCCGATGATTTATAGTCGGGAGGCCACGTTTGGATTGCTCATGTCATTTGGTTCATTCAACGTTTCTCAAACTCTGGATCCCCATGCCAAGGGGAGGGGTATTGTGACTTATTACACACAAAGTGCTTGGCAAAAATGAACCATAATAACTTTGCTGATCTCATCAAGAAGCATCACGCCAAGTCCGGTCATCCTCACAGCGCCGCCTTTTGGCTCACCATCGAACAAAGTCGGTCACCGCATGGCGCACTTTCAGATGCGCTGCTGTGGCCGTCTGGAACGTTCTTCCGATATTAGGAAGTCACTTTTCATCTAGATTGAAAATAATGTATTTTTACTGATTTTTGTGTTTAGTTTGTTGTCCTTCCCTCGCATCTTCCAATTAACATGGTTGGCTACGTACGGTGCGAAAGAATTTCAACATACATAAATATCTGTAATACTGGTAGGAACTACTTGGTTCCACCAGCTCACAGGGGATTATTGTGTCCGTCCGTCCTGCATCCAAAAATGGGAGGGGTGGCGCTGGCTGTAGAGGGGAGGGTGTGAGGGGCTGGGTGGGGAGGGGCTGGTCACCCCGTGGTGCCCTTATAAAACTCAACGTTTAACCTACTCACGCCGGCTTGTGCCCACCCTCACAGTCGGCCATATTTGCGGAATACACCACGCCGCCGTTGACCCTGGCCATTGACCGAGCAACCCAACGTTCCTACCAGCTCCCTCCGCAGGAATGTGTTTTTCTGCTCTAATGAGCATTGAGGCGTTTTTGCTCATCTTCCGTTTACAGCTCTGTAAACCGGTGGTGGTAATTCCGCATTTTTATGGCGCTGGCACACCTAATAGTGGGAACAACCACCGTTGACTTCCACACAAAGTGGTACTCATTTTATCGACACCCCAGAGGCGTGATTGTGCGCGAGTCAGCGGCCAACCAGGATTGTGAACTCGCAAACCTTGCGATTGTGAGCTGCTTGCTCTACCGCTGAGCCAAGTGGCCGTGCTGACATATAAAGAGGCACTGCTCGTGTGTTTTTGCACGTACACGCGTGCAGCCCTTTCTACTATCCGCTGCCGGATGAAGGCCTGCCCCACGCCGCTCACTGCGGGGTTGGCGAGCTTCTTGTTACCCTTATCGTCGCCGATTAAATACTTGCGAGGACGAGTGAGCGCGCGCGCCGGGGAAGCCCCGCGTAAAACCCGAGCGTATTTTTCTTATCTTCCCCCCCCCCCCCTCTGTTTTCCACCAGGCACGTCACGGTGCTGTCGGACACCATAAAGAAGGGCATGCACGACGCTGATGCTGATTCCAGGGCGGAGGCCAGGAAGTAAGTTTGGACGGTGCGGAACGGGCAAACGAGGGTGTCGCTTGGTGCGTGATTGGTCTCGTGTCGTGGGATTACGATGCGGTCACGGCTGGCTGATCGTCTGGATCAGAAGTCAAGAGACGCGGCCTTCGGACCGCTGAGATCCTGGGTTCGAATGCCAGCCCAGCCCCACGGCTGCGGCTAAAGCCGGGTTCTGAAGTGGTTATTTTATTTGCTAGACAAATAGTTCACTGCTTTAACCCCAAATTTTTTTTTGTAAATGTTGTGGTTTCACACTTCAACACACCGGTGGGTTAAAGCAGTGAACTATTTGTCTTTTGTCAACGTGACACTTTTTTACTGATTGGCCGTGTCGGGTGGTGGAGGGTTACGACACATTTATAAATAACGCGATCTAAACCCAAAAACGTTGATTATGACTATATATATAGTTCGTAAAAAAAACCCATCAGATTCTGCGAAGGACGAACGGCTCCTACCGAGTCTACGTTCATCGTGACGCTCACGGTTCACGTGTACAAAGGCACAGACATTAACCGAGTTGACGGTTCTGTCGCGCGACAGGGCGTACTGGGGCTTCCGGACGCACTTCCCCTCCGAGTCTGATGCCCTCTACGCGGCGCTGGAGCCCAAGTACCAGAAGTTGCTGAGCGGCTCTCAGCTGCACAGCTCCTCCAACTCTCACTTCGACCGCTCCGCCTCCAGCTCGCAGGAGAGCCTCACGTGAGTGAGGTGCACGGGGGGTCGTGGGTTCGCACCCGACCCCTGACGACGCCTGTGCAATTGGAGTTCTGCGCGGTCGCTCTCTCTCTCGGTCTCTCTCGGTCTCTCTCGGTCTCTCCCTCCCCGTGGTCGCGTGGATTTTTCTCCGGGCGCTTGAAGCAGGTTAAGAATATCGCCGCCGCGCATGCACGGATTGAGTTGCACCTTTTGACGTGCGCGCTTGTCCTCGGAGAAGGAATAAAATCGTCAGCACGGAAGCCAAACGGCATGTCGGGGCTAATGCAGTATTTGCGAAAACAGTTGTCCTTAAATTTCGATTTAAAGCTTTCGTGACTGCAGGGATTCACCTTCTTTGTTCTTTCGGTAAAGTCACGTAGAATGGAAATAATAAAATAATAAAAATTAAACATAATTAAAGAATTCTCACGACGTTTCGGCCACAACGCAAGCAGCCGTCCTCAGGTGGAGAGCAGGTCTGTCAAGAAGACAGAGTCTGAATGACACACCCCAGGCTTGGAGCGTCTATTTAAGCTGTGATGGAGGGGGGAAGAGCGCCTTGACAAAATAATTTGCATATCAATAAGAATTTAGCATATTTATGGGAAATGCAGATATGCGATTAGTACTACTTGTGAAATGCGTAGGAGGTTTGGCGGGGGGTTTAAAGTCATTATGCCCGTGCATTATGCAGGATTAGCGTGGATTGTCCTTTTTGGTTTGGCATGTGTCCCCAAGTACGCCACAGTGGCGAGCTGTTAACTACCTCGCCCGGTATACAAGAGGTCGTGGGTTCAATCCTGACCACTGACAACGCCTGTATATTTGGAGTTTGCGTTCTCTCTCTCTCTCATTCCCATGGTCACGTGGATTTATCTCTGGGTTCCTCCGGTTTGTCCCCTCCACATTTTCAAATAAAAGTGCGTTTAGAGTGTTTGGCTGCTACTGTAAATTTACACCCGATAAGTCACTTTGTTGAGCTCTCATTTCTGATAGCCAGATCACTTCTGAAAAAGAGCTATTTCGCTCAGTGGGTCTTACCTGGCAAAATAAAAAATTGTTGCACCATCTTCTTGGTTGTTTCGGTAAAGTCACGTAGAAGGGAAATAATAAAATAATAAAAATAAAACATAATAAAAAATTCTCACGACGTTTCGGCCACAACGCAAGCAGCCGTCCTCAGGTGAAGACCAGGTCTGTCGGGGAGACAGAGTCTGCACCAGTTTAATTTTAGTTTGAAGTGGTTTCGCACGGCTCCGTTTCGTGTTCGTACAAAATTTAAAACGGCTGAATTTGCAGTTAAATCTGGGGGGTTGGGGGGCTGTAGGGGGGGGGGAGTGGAGGAGGGCTGTGGCTATTGGAGGAGGGAAAAAAAAAGATTGCCTCCGTCCCCATGTGTGCCGCTGGATGGGAGGTGATGTGTGGGGCCTGGCGACATCGTGGGCATCATCAGCCTGGGGTGTGTGGGTTTTTTTTTGGCGAGTTTCTCTCCTTCGGGAGGCAGAATGCGTGGGGGCGGCCGAGTTGACTCATAGTCCTAATCGACCCGTCACCCCAGCTCTAAGTGTCCAGCTGGAATGTGCATTCGCCATGTGGTGTGGGGAGCGGCGGTGCAGCGGTTAGCGCGCTGCACTACGAACACGCCGGCGACCCGAGTTCGATTGCCGCTCACAGCCACCAACACCAGCGACGGTTATCTGAACCGGCCCCGGGCCTTCCCTAGGTTGACTCGGCCGCAAAACGAGTACTTGGTACGATGTGTAAACATGGGGAGACAAAGGCGGCCGGGTGTGGTGCTGGTGCTCGATAACCGCACTTGCCCCAACATTCTGTTGAGGCTATAGGAGGGGGGGGTCCTTTATCTTTGTGTTTAATGATTTCATGGTGTGGCGTGCGTTTTGTTCCCGGACGTGGTGCTGGTACCTGCCAATGGCACTTGCCCCAACAGTCTGTTGAGGCTATTGGAGGGGGATCCTTCGTCTTTGCCTTTGATAATTGCGTAAGGTGGCGCGTGTGGTGTGCGTTTTGTTCCTGCAGGAGGGTGGTGATGCCCAAGCGCGTCCCCGTTCGGCAAGCCGACGTCCCGGCATCACAAGGTGCATCGCTCGCGAGCGTCGACCGAGGTCGAAAGCATTCGTACATCCGCTACGTTTGTCCCTCGGCGCACGTCTGTCCGTCCGTCCGTGTGTCTGTCCTTCCGTTTGTCTCAATGTCTACCTTGTGCATGGTGAGCGCCCAGTCACGCTTTCTTTCCTTTTCCCTTCTTGCTCCCCTTGACTGGAACCAACTCCCGCTGGAGTACACCTTAGCAACCATTTTTACTCTAACTTCCCTATCTCTTCTCCCGTGCCCATCCTGCTGCTACTGTTACTCCCTGCCCTACGCCCTCCAGCTACGACCAGGCCTACCCCAAACCCTATCACGACCCCCATAACTACCCCTATCACTACCCTATAACTACCCCTATCACTACCCTATAACTACCCCTATCACTACCCTATAACTACCCCAACCCCGATCACTACGACGATCGCTACCCCTATCACTCCTATCACTACCCCTATCACTCCCCCTATCACTACCCCAACCCCTCCTTAACCACTCCCACCTTTCCTCCTGTCACCGCAACTGCACCACGACTCTTAATAACAAGCCCGCTCCCTCTTTTCACCACTTATCACCTTGCGTACAACTTGACGATTGTCGTGATGCGCCTTGGGACTAAGGCGCTGTATCAATCCGTGCGGGACACGGTGAGGTTCCCGCGCCGAGCACAAAGTGTGACGCCGTCCCTCTCGTCGCGACGTGTCGTGGCCCAGCCGGATCAGCGTCGGCGACGAGGCGGCGGTCGTCGGCGGTGGCGGCCGCGGCGGCGACGCCGGGCTCCGGCCTGCACCGCTCGCGCAGCGACATGGACGTGAACGCCGCCGCCTGCGCCTCGTCGCGCAAGACCTTCGCTGTGCCGGCGCCCGTCTCCTCCGCCACGCTCGGTCGGTCCGCCGTTCCTACGCGGTCGCACGTTTTGGGGCGCGCGCGTGCGAAGGGAGGTCGGACATCAGTGCGGCGCTCCTTCGCTGGCCGTGCGTGACGGGATTAGTGATTTCCTTGCGCCTACCAGCTCTGAACTTCCAAACATTGTGTCAGCGCGGGGTGCCTCCGTTGGCCTCGCGGACCGTATGTTTAAATATATGTAGCGGTAATAATAATGAACGGCCCCTTCTGTGCTTACATCCAAAAAGTGTCTCTGCAGTTGCAATGTTGCCTCGTTTGTATCGGCGTTTTACAACTCTCCGTTGCATTGCTGGCAATGCGGGAGGATGTTTCTGTTCTATTATCTATGTGGGTCCTTCCCCCGCACCTCCGAATCGTACTGTTGGCTCCGTTAAACTTCTGTTAAGTATCTTCTTGGTTCTTTCGGTAAAGTCACGTAGACGCTGTCTTTCCGACAGACCTGTTCTTCACCTGAGGACGGCTGCTTGCGTTGTGGCCGAAACGTCGTGATTTTGATTTTATTTTGATTTTACTTTTATTAATTTTAATTTTTTACCTACGTGACTTTACCGAATAAACCTAAGAATATGAACGGTCCCTTGTTAATACGGCTGGCCTCCGCACGCGCCGTTTCGGTCGTGAGTGTTGCTTCACCATACTTCACGTTTGCCGGGAAGCAATTTGGTGATGGGGGGGGATAGACAACGACGATTCAGATGTCGGAAACCGAAGCAAGGTGTGATCGTGTGGGTGCGCTGTACCGTCGCGCCACCGCCGCACGGCACGGTGGGCGGCAACTGACAACGCGTCGACGTGACGTGCATGCGCGCGCGTTCCCTTTCCGATCGTCCAGGCCGCGTGCGCTCGCGACCTTCGACCTGCGGGACCATGAGCAGCCCGGCGACCCCCACGGACGCGCGGGGGCGGACGCGTGCCAAGGTGTCCCAGTCACAGCGTGAGTCTCTTCAAGCGCCGGGTGTACACACCGCACCGGGTGTAAGCACCGGGTGTACGCACCGCACCGGGTGGACGCACCGGGTGGACGCACCGGGTGTACGCACCGGGTGGACGACGTCGGTAGGTGGGCGTCAAGCCGAGGGCACAAAGCACCTGCCGGAGATTTTCTCATCGTCATCATCAAGAGTCCAAGTGGTTTCCTGCTCCTATGGGCATTGAAGCATTGCTGCAGATTTGCCGTTGACAGAACTTAACCAGTGGTTTCAAATCCACATTTCAATATTGATCTGAATCAGAATTATTTCTTTAGACTGGAGGAATCTGATGAGCCATGAAGTTCTTTTTCACAGTTGGCCAGTATGGACGGGTCACCACGTTACAACATCAAACAATACAAAAATAACCGATAGGAGTGCAAAGTAGGGAAAAGGTAAGCATGTCACAATTTTTTTTTTTAACATAAATGAAGTCTGTAAGAGTCTAACCCTTGCACAGCCATTGTCGACTTTTGCCAAAAAGTCAGTTCTGATTTTATTGATCCCCAGAGGGATGATGGGATGAATCGGCCCACACGACCAGGATTTGAACGCGTAACAAACTGACTGCGAGCCTCTTAACTACTACCGCTGAGCCGCCTGGCCGGATATATTTCCTCTGAGTGTCCTTGCAAGCCATGGCGAGTAGGTTCACACTCGGGTCTAGGCCGGTGGTCACCCAACATTGCTAGAGCTGCGGGACGACTTCTCAACCCTCGCTATATGTTCACCGTGCAGCAAACAAAAACAAAGGATTGTACATGCAATGGTTTGCGCATAGACCACTATGCACAGCCTTGCGAGAACCACCAGTGGCCTACGCACCCCAGGCTTTGAACCACCGGTTTAGCTAGACCGCCCATCAGCGACTCGCAAAAACGATTTTATCTTACCAGTTGAAGCCGACCAAGCTATTCGTTCTTTTCAGAGGCGACCTGACCACAAGTGATGGCCCATCAGGAGTGGCTTATATCATCGTCGTCGTCCTCAAACGTGGGAATTTAAAATAGCAGCCAAATAATCTAAACGCAAGTTGATTGCCAATCTGGGGGGTGGGAGGGGGGCATAACAGGAGGAACCCAGAGAAAAAGCCACGCGACCACCATGTGAGGGGGGGGGGGCGAGAGAGAGAACAAATATACAGCATCGCCAGGGGTCTGGGATCGAACCCACAACCTCCTGTTTTCTCGACAGACCTGTTCTTCACCTGAGGATGGCTGCTTGCGTTGTGGCCGAAACGTCGTGAGAATTATTTTATAATGTTTTATTTTTATTATTTTATTATTTTATTATTGCCATTCTACGTGACTTTACCGAAAGAACCAAGAAGATGAATCCCTGCATACCTGTGCGAGGGACATAACGTTTCCTTACCGCCCTGCCCTTCGCGTGTTTTGTCGCAGCCGGGAGCCGGTGCGGGTCGCCGGGCCGCGTCACCGGCGCCGTTCGGAGCGCCGCGGGCGCCGTGCCGGGCGGGGTGGCGCAGCGCGTGCCCGTGGTGCCGTCACCGGGCACGGCGCGCAAGCAGCACCGCGTGCCACGCAGCCAGGGCGGCAGTCGCGACAGCAGCCCCACTCGCTCCCTGCGCCGTGAGTCCTCGAGTGGGTTTGGCCGCGGCGGCCGCCGTCATTCAAACATCGTCGGTGAAAGACGAGTGGACGGTCGTGAAAAAAATTACTGTACAGTAAAACCTTGGATCGCGAGCATAGTTCGTTCCGGAAACGTGTTTGTGATCCAAAGCACTCGTATATCAGTTGTGATCACGTGACGCTCGTCAGACCAAAGCGTATACACGTACTACTCGTATTGCAAGACCTCGCTCGTTTATCAAATTAATATTTATTTAAAATTTTGCTCGTCTTGCAAAACACTCGCAGACCAAGTTACTCACAATCCAAGGTTTTACTGTCTATGTACGTAACTCGTGGATTTGTATTATTTTTGTTTAATTGGCGATTGGTTTCGTGAGCAACGTGGAAGGGACAATAGTTTTTATTTTATTTTGGTGACGAGCACGCAGCGCTGTGATCCAGGAGATGGGAACATTGGTAAGGGATAAGGCCAAGAGATTTTGGAATTAAACGAAGAGAAACAGGGGGTGGGAGATTGCCGGGATGATATCGGTCGCAAAAATATTCGTCATCAGAGTGGTATTTTTGTATTTGTAAACGCCTTAATATGTAGAGGACCGCAGAGCTTGGAGAGAAAATGTGGCGCTGGCTCACGGACCTGGCTGCCGCCTTTTCTACTCGTCTTAGTCCCTCGCACCTCTTGAGTCATGCTGCCATTGTTACATTTATCATTCCTAAGCTATCGCACCGGTGGTTATTTGCAGTGTCACGTGGGAGCCGCATCCCACGACCGAGCATGAGCCAGGGCTTGCAGTCGGGACAACAGCCGGGACGCCAGCCCCGTGCGGGGATTCTCTGCGCTTGGTGAGTTGCTTCCCGCCCTCGCCGACCGTGCGGTCCAAGCAAACAAAGACAAAGATCCCCCGTGTAGCCTGTGACAGACTGTTGGGGCAAGTGCTGTTAGCGAGTAGCACCTGTGAAGGCCGGCACGGCACACGAGGGGGTGGGTATCCAATACTACGCCCGTCCCCCTTTGTCTCCCTCGTGGCGATGTTTACACATTGCAACAGGTACTCATCTGAGGCTGAGTCGACCTAGGGGAGGGCCAGGAACGGTTCAGATAACCATAATTGGTGTTGGCCGTGAGCGGGAATCGAACTTGGGTCGCCGGGTTCGTAGTGTACCGCACTAACCGCTGCACTGCCGCCCCACACACACACACGGCTCGAAGCTCCTAGGCACTCTCTTCTTTCTCTTGCCTCTCCTCGGCGTCCGTGAGTTCTGCCGCGGTCAAGAGGTCATCACCAACTTGAGAAGAGTTGACGATGAGGCTATCCCAACGGGCAGCAGTGAGCCAAAGAGACAGCTGTTGTCCGGTTTCGTCCACGTTAGTCGGTACAGTTCGTTTATCAACGCTCACCGTTCGGCCCTTTCTACCCCGGATGCCAAACACAGAGAGGCCTTTCCTTCGCACGATGGGGACCCCCGCCCTCTCCTCGCTCCCCCATTGAGCTGGTGGTCTAAACAATAACACGGCCACACGTTCAGCTGTCAGGCTGGTGGCGCAGACAAGGCCAAGATTATCGTACGCGCAGTGCTGTGGCCACGTGACGGGCACGCAAGGCCTGGCTCGCGTTGACGTTGCCGAGCGGGTCGGCTCGCTCGCCGCTTGCCGTCGCAGATGTTCAAGGATCGAATCCAGCGGCCGCCCCCCCTGGTTACGAGAGCGGGTGTCACAGCCGTGGTGTTAATAGCGCACTACGCGCCGTCTGCTCCGCTAGGACGTTAAAGATCGCAAGAGCAGGCCCATCGTGTCCCGGCATCAGTCCGAAAATAACACCGCATTTTACTCGATAGGGATTATACACAGCAGAAAGCATCGCCCCCTGTTGTCAAACTAATGCCCCACCCCCCCCCCGCCCAGGTCACTCTTGCGAATGAAACTCATCCTGGTCTTTTGAGTTCTCACCACCTGGTTAAACAAAAGCAAACTTGAGAACATGATTGTGCCTTCATGCTGTCCGCGAACGAGCATGCCTTTGCGAGTGTTGGTATTTCTGTCCCGTACCGCTGTCTGGCGACTGGCACGCCGTCTGATTTCACTTGCCTGGCTCTTTGCTGTTTCCCCAACAATGTAGCTGCCCTGTACCCCTCCTGCTTCCTGTCCTTGCCGGCGTTATTTTAACCAGCACTCTGCTTGCAGTGTCTCAACGGCACTCTCACTCCACCAGCTCTCTCTTCCCCTCCGACTCACTGCGCAAAACAGGTGACGCGTCGTTGATTCCTTTGCCAGACACTGCTTCACTTTGCGCCCGCCCGCCCGCCCGCCCGCCCCCTACCCGCCTCTTCCCACACCTCCCCTCCCCCCCCACATCGCTCTCCGTCACTTTCACTTCCCGTTTTCATGACGCTCGTTGTTCAATGGGCAATCGACGATTCCATCGATCGCGGTGGATTTAAGCCGCGCGCAATGCAAGGGTCGTGCCCTATCCGTCCGTGTGTGAAAAATGATAACGCATATCATTTCGCATGCCGAAATTATATGCCACTCTACGTGCAGATTTGTCAGGGTCAAAATTGACCACAAGTTCATAAATTACGTATAGCAATCATCGCCCCACCCCCACCTACTGGCAGGCCAAGTGCTGAGTCATCTTGTGCCTATCTGGAGAGCTGCCACTGGGTGTGCCCTTTCAAATGTTTGAGATCAGACGTGATGTAAACGCTCTGCATCGCCAGATAATCTTGCGCTGCTTGTGCTGTGATGCTAGATGCACGGCATTGCCATTCCGATCTTGTTCGTGCACCCTTGTTGTTGCGTTGTTTTGTTTACTTTTTTGTGTTGTTGCTGTAACCAGGTTTTTGTAATGTAATGTTACTTGCCGACCCGCGCCCCCCCCCCCCCCCTTACTGGACATCTGTGAAAAAAAATTACTTGGTAGCTCATCCGATTCCTCCAGTTCTACAGAAACATTCTTGGTTCTGAACCACATGTGCGCCATCGAAAAAGAGCATTTATTGTCCAATGTTTTCTTCTTTTTTTTGACACCTGCGCCAAAGTAAAACCTTCGTGACTGAAGGGATTCATCTTCTTGGTTCTTTCGGTAAAGTCACGTAGAATGGAAATAATAAAACAATAAAAATAAAACAATAAAATATGCAAATTATTTTGTCAAGGCGCTCTTTCCCCCCTCCATCCCAGCTTAAATAGTCGCTCCAAGCCTGGGGTGTGTCATTCAGACTCTGTCTTCTCGACAGACCTGCTCTCCACCTGAGGACGGCTGCTTGCGTTGTGGCCGAAACGTCGTGATAATTATTTTATTATGTTTTATTTTTATTACTTTATTACTTCCATTCTACGTGACTTTACCGAAAGAACCAAGAAGACGAAAGTGAAACCCTTAACTAACCCTAAATAAGTTGACCGGAGCGATGCTGACTGCGGAGGTTGCGTGTCTCTCGTGTCCGTGGCGCCCCCCGCCGTGTGTGAGCAGTGGCTGACCGGTTTGGGTTGGATCAGGCAGCCTACCTTCCACCCTCCCTGCAAGCCATGCGGGTCCTCAACACCAGCCCGGAGATCGAAGCCGCCTTTGCGGACGCCCTGGTATGTGCCCGTTTTGTTGTATCGTTACGCACGTATGTTGAACTTCTTTTGCACGGTACGTATCCAACAGTGTTGCAGGGAAGGACAACAAACTGAACAGAAAAGCTAGTTCTAAAGAAATTCGTTGACAATTTGTATATAAAAGTGCATCGCTCCAGTCGATTCCTAATATTGGAAGGAGGAACGTTCCAGACGGCCGCAGAAACGCATCTGAAAGCGCGCGATGCAGTGACCGTCTTTGCGATGGTTATTATAACTATTATTTTGGCTGTTGTGTAATTGGATGTGATTTGCAGCATGAAATATATCGCATTGGATTAACACAATTGCCTACGATATTTGACCAATAAACTGCAGCTTTACAATCCTTCTTGGAGTTTGATGTCGGCAAAAACGTTTCGGAGCGCGGGGTTTCTTTGCTCCGTTCGGCGAACGGACGCGTGTTCATCCCACTGACACAGTGCCGAGCGTACAATTTAAAATAACGATTCGTAATTATAATTGGTTCTTTACCCTTTTTTTCGGCAACAAAACTGACACCTTTTTTACAAGGAGTCATGTTTGCATCGACCACAATACCTGCGGTCAGATTGCAAACAAAAAACACAACTTTGACAATGTATGCATTGTCTTTGAAATTGATTGGTCCACACCCGAGACAGCTTTTCTCAGAGCCTAGTCTCATATGGTGTTGGACCAGATGAAGCCAAAAGGCACACAACTCAAAGACAATGCACCATCAGAGTACCCCGAGCTCTCATACTATGATGGTGCATTGTCTTTGAGTTGTGTGCCTTTTGGCTTCATCTGGTCCAACACCATGTGAGACTAGACTGAGAAAAGCTGTCTCGGGTGTGGACCAATCAATTTCAGGGACAGTGCATACATCATCAGAGTCGCGTTTTTTGTTTGCATTCCGACTGCAGGTATTGTGGTCTATGCAAACATGACTCCTTGTAAAACAAGGTGTCAGTTTTGTTGCCAGATAAAAGGGTAAAGAAAACAATTATCGTATTTTGCTACTGGCAAAGGAGGTTCCAATGGTGATTCGTAATTAGTTTATATTGGGGTTAGCGTCACGTGTGGGTTTAAATGTCAGAGCTGCAGATCCCGGTCATGCTGAAAGCAAACTCTGGAGATTACACCCAACAAGGCCAAATTTGGGTGGGGGGGGGTGCATTTTATAATCAAGGTGGCTGTGTGAATGCGTGCATGAGACCAGATCTGTCTACGTTTATTGACCCCCGGTCACACGGCTTGGTGTGCATAATGTGAACGACCTTGCTCTGTCTTCACTGAACCTACCTCCCGTTGTGGTTGCTGCGTTCAGCTGTTCAGAGTGTCCATCAGAAAGGTATTGCTCTGGATTCCCTTGGCTTTAAACGTAGCAGCGCGAGGCCATCGTCATAATCGTGATTGTGCGCTCACGTGGTTTGTCTGATGGCAAGAGAACACGCTCTTCATTCTTTTGCGTGCGCCAACTCGGTGTTTGCATTTACGTTCATCGTCATTGTCTTTAGCATCAGCTGTTGTCTCTCAATTTCTGGATGAAAGCCCTCTCACCCTGCCGATGCCACCGTCACCGGTGCTGCGATGCCGACGATCCATCTGGCTGATACCAACTCTAACCAGTGCTGTGATGCCAACGATCCGTCTGGCTGATGCCAACCCTAACCAGTGCTGTGATGCCAACAATCCATCTGGCTGATGCCTCCCTAACCAGTGCTATGATGCCAACGATCCATCTGGCTGATACCAACCCTAACCAGTGCTGTGATGCCAACGATCCGTCTGGCTGATGCCAACCCTAACCAGTGCTGTGATGCCAACCCTAACCAGTGCTGTGATGCCAACAATCCATCTGGCTGATGCCAACCCTAACCAGTGCTGTGATGCCAACGATCCATCTGGCTGATACCAACTCTAACCAGTGCTGTGATGCCAACGATCCATCTGGCTGATGCCTCCCTAACCAGTGCTATGATGCCAACGATCCATCTGGCTGATGCCTCCCGAACCAGTGCTGTGATGCCAACGATCCGTCTGGCTGATGCCTCCCTAACCAGTGCTGTGATGCCAACGATCCATCTGGCTGATGCCTCCCTAACCAGTGCTATGATGCCAACAATCCGTCTGGCTGATGCCAACCCTAACCAGTGCTATGATGCCAACGATCCATCTGGCTGATGCCAACCCTAACCAGTGCTGCGATGCCAACGATCCATCTGGCTGATGCCAACCCTAACCAGTGCTGCGATGCCAACAATCCATCTGGCTGATGCCAACCCTAACCAGTGCTGTGATGCCAACGATCCATCTGGCTGATGCCACCATCCATATCTCTCTCTCTCTCGCACCCCGAGCCGATCTCACCGCCGTGGGCCTCCTCTCGGGCGCGTCCCCCCTCTCCTTCGGCTGCCACTCCATGGTCGGGTATCCGCCGTTGCCCATCGTCCCGTCCGGCCGTGACATGTCCCTGTCCAAGCTCCGCTCGCTTCACTTATCCGAACCCACGCCGTAATGTTTGTCGTTTAGCGCTCTTTCCCCAGATGCCAGGCGTTCGGCTTTCTTTTCGCTCGGTGAAAATGAGGGCCATGCGTCGCGTCACGTGGCTTTTTTATTTTGGTGCGCACATTTCAGATGATTTTTTTGTGTTTTCTTTCTCGGTTTTGGTCATCGTCCGATGTTTCTGACCCGTTCATCACAGCCGGAAAGCCGTGCGCTTGTTCGCCAGCTACAGCTGACGGGCACACGTCGGAATCCCGGCTCGTTCGTATAATTTAAACTAAACTTTTATTTTATTTTATCAGGCGAGGCCCAAAACCTAGGCTTATTATCTATAATAGAGGTTTTTGGGTTAGATCTCGTTATATAAATGTGTCCTTAAACCCGCCATGCCAATGATCTGTTTCAACAAAGCCAATCAGCAAAGTTTGTCGCCTAAAAAAAAAAGCGTGCCAATTCGTTACTAGTTCAGCACACCGGTGTGTTGGAGAGTAAACCTACATCATTTACATTTCTAACCCAAAAACCTCTCACACTGAGCTGCATAGCTCTTTTTCAGAAGCAACCTGGCTATTATAATGATAGCTCAACTCGAAATTTATAACAGCCACATACCCTGAATGCACGATGTTGATTCTCAATTGCGGAGGGGGGGAAAAACCGGAGGACCCGGAGAAAAATCCGCATGACCACGGGGAGAGAAAAAGAGACACGCAAACTCCAAATATACAGCAGCAGGCGGCAGGGTCGGGATCGAACCCACGACCTCCTGTATACCAGGCGAGGTAGTTAACATCTCCTACCCACCGTGATGATGATGATGATGATGATTATGAGAGAGACACGCAAATTCCAAATATACAGCAGGCGGCAGGGTCGGGATCGATCCCACGTCCGTCTCTCTTCCGCGATGACTCCCCCTGCGGGATCACGACGTGGGGCATCTCAGGTGGCCTGGCCCCGGCGCCTGGCACGCTTCTGGCAAAGTGCGTGAGTGTGCGTGGCCTGGCTCTTGTAAAAAAAAAAAAAAGAGCTTTAAAGTTCATCGGATTCTTCCGGTACAAATAAAGATTCCGAAGCGGGCATGCTGGCCTGCCACGCCGGTCGGGGGGCGTGGTGACGTGAGACTGCCGCGGCTGTGCGAGAGGAGACGGCTTTTTGCCCGCTTGGTGAACCGGGTCGGTTTGCTTCCCGGCGGTCTGTATTCCTCACCCCCATCGTGATCGGCCCCAGCCCCCCCAACCCGTTTGGACCTCGCGTGAAGGCGAACAGCTAAAACTTTGAATATTGGCAGCAATTTTATGAACTGATCTTGCAATTCGTCTTCGGCTCTAGAAGTGTTGAGAATTGTCTGCGCCGGGTGAAATGGGCCAACGCTTTCTTCTGCGTGGCCGTTTCGGTCGGGTCAACAAGTCTGTGAGCCTTTTTAAATTGTACACTTGGGCCAAAAGTCATCGATATACCCTAGGAAATTCGTGTAGTCTTCCCTTTTGCAAAAGAGATGTTGGTCCCAATGGGCTTGTTGACCCTGGTCATAAATAAAGATCACGTACGCCACACACGTGTACACCCAAAAAGTATATAACCCCCAAAAAATAATTATAATAAACACAGTTGGACGTGTCGGATAAGACAGTCGGTTCTTATGCCAGAGGCAACCGGCCTACGGCTCTGGGCTGGCCCGGCAAAAACCGGTACCGTAAATGGGTGACCCGCGTCTTCACGAGGGAGCCGTTTTTTTCTTCCCCCCCCCCCCCGCCTTTGCGATCGCGGCGACGATTTGCGGCCGATCACCTCCACCCCCCGGGAACTTGAACATCGATCCCTTGTCGGCGGCGGCAGCAGCGGAAGCCGGTCCGGAAGCGCTACGACTACGGCCTCGGCTCGGACGACGACGCCAACAGCGAGACGTCGAGCATGTGCTCGGATCGCTCGTACAGCTCGCGCGGTGGCGGCGGCGGCGGCGTCGGCGGCTTGGGCACGGTGCTGGGTGCCCGCCCGGCGGAGGATGTGGCCGAGGTGCTGAACCACTGCGCCAGCCCCAACTGGGCGGAGCGGAAGGAGGGACTCATGGGCCTGCAGAACATCCTCAAGAGCCATCGGCCACTCAGGTGAGAGTGGTGGGGGCAGCAACAACAACAACAAAGATTCGGGTGAGAGTGGTGGGGGCAGCGACAAGTCAGGTGAGAGTGGTAGGAACAACAACAACAATTGACTCGGGTGAGAGTGGTAAGGACAGCAACAATGACCCTGGTAACTGAGAGTGGTCGGGACAATAACTATGACAACAACTATGACAACAACAATGACAACACAAACTTACGTTAAGGTGCGGATTTTGCAATGGGTGACCGGGTGACGCATTGCCCAGTAACCTTTGCACAGAGCTCCGTATTTTTTTTTGGTATTTCTCCGGTTCGATCTCTGCTTTACGTTCTCTCGTGTGTTCGTTTTTTTGTTGGGCATTTGCAGTCGAGTCGAGATGAAGAGGCTTTGCGAAATCTTCTCCAGGATGTTCTCAGATCCTCACAGTAAGGTAAACAACGTCCGGCCTGGTCCATGCGGTTACACGATGGACACGAGCTCTCATCTCCATCCCTGCGTCCGAGGCACATCCCTGCGTCCGAGGAGGGTTGCTACAAGGCAACCCGCGGTGGCTATGAGATGTTAACTACCTCGCCTGGTATACAGGAGGTCGTGGGTTCAATCCTGGCCCTGACGCCTGCTGTATATGTGGAGTTTGCATGTCTCTTATCATCATCATCATGGTGGCTAGCAGATGTTAACTACCTCGCCTGGTATACAGGAGGTCGTGGGTTCAATCCTGGCCCTGACGCCTGCTGCTGTATATTTGGAGTTTGCATGTCTCTCTCATCATCATCATGGTGGCTAGCAGATGTTAACTACCTCGCCTGGTATACAAGAGGTCGTGGGTTCAATCCTGGCCCTGACGCCTGCTGCTGTATATTTGGAGCTTGCATGTCTCTCTCATCATCATCGTGGTGGCTAGCAGATGTTAACTACCTCACCTGGTATACAGGAGGTCGTGGGTTCAATCTTGGCCCTGACGCCTGCTGTATATTTGGAATTTGCGTGTCTCTCTCATCATCATCATGGTGGCTAGGAGATGTTAACTACCTTGCCTGGTATACAGGAGGTCGTGGGTTCAGTCCTGACCCTGACCCATGACTGTCTCACCGTGGACGCGTGGATGTTTCTCCGGGTCCTCCGGTTTTTCCCTCCACATTTAGGATCACCATCACGCGTTTGGAATATTTGTCTGCTTTACACCTGATGATGATAAGCCCACTTCGTTGAGCTGTCATTTGTGATGGGTCTCTTCCGAAAAACTTGCTGTATAGCTATATTCTTAGGTTTTTTCGGTAAAGTCACGTAGGTAAAATTTTTTATTAATAAAAGTAAAATAAAAATAAATAAAAATCACGACGTTTCGGAGGCAACACGAGCTTCCGTCTTCAGGTGCAACCATCACAGCCCGACAGCTGTATCAAGTAAATGAGAGATCACAAGAGATAACATTCCGTATATATAATGGTTGAGGGGGGGGGGGAAGGGCCAGGAACGGCACACTTTTTATTATTATGGTAAGGTGCGGCGGTGAGGACACAGCAGCGGATGTGAGTGTGAAAGCGATGGGTATTACCTTGTTATCTCGGCATCTCTTGAGGAAGGCCAGCGTCTCGAGAAGCTGTGACTTCTTGTCTCGTTGTCTGTTAAAAACTCTAACAGATAGGTGGAATTCCTCCCCGTAGAGGGCATTAATTCTAGATTTGAAGCTTTCGTGACTGCAAGGATTCATATTCTTAGATTTTTTCGGTAAAGTCACGTAGGTAAAAATTTTAAATTAATAAAAGTTAAATAAAAATAAAATAAAAATCACGACGTTTCGGAGGCAACACAAGCTTATGGACCTTACCTGTAAATATGATCGCGTGTAAATATGACGGTGGCGCCTTCGGTGGCCAACGCAAACTGACTCGTAATGCACACGCCATCACGACCCGCTCATGCACAGCAGCATTGGCACACTGCCTCTTAACTCCCGAGTGCTGCGGATGCGTCGTGGTTGCTTCCGTAATTATTTGTTGCGTGTCTTTTTCTTGTGTTGTTCCCGTGCGCTCATCAGTATTGTGCGTGTGTGTGTGCGCGTCTTTTTTTTTCTCTCCATGCGTCGCTGTCCCGACATCCTCAACAGAGAGTAAGTGCCACCCGCCGTTCTTTTTGGCGTCGCGTCAGCGCCGTTCTTTTCGCGGCCTAGCGCTCGTGTTTTTGCACCGAAGCGACTGGGCAGTCCGTGGAGTGATCGGTTGCCTTGGTGAGGTGTCGGGGTGGGTGGGATCACAGTTTATCGAACTGTCCAAATGTCACGAACTTTCTCAAATGACCGGCCATTTGCTTCGAATTGAGAACATCCACGCTGCAAACGTAGCCCCCGATGGGCGGACTAATGCCGCTTTGCAGGCCGGCGCTGCTTATCTGACCTTGTGCCGCACAGTGATAGCTGCCACTTAGCGGGGGGAGTCCCCTATCGCACGGCAACCTCGGGGTGTACTGCAACGGGTGGGGCACGGTGTCAGTATTGAGTCATCGACGACGATGTGTGTACAGTAAAACCTTGGATTGCGAGTAACTTGGTCTGCGAGTGTTTTGCAAGATGAGCAAAAATTTTAAATAAATATTAATTTGATGAACGAGCGAGGTCTTGCAATACGAGTAGCACGTGTATACGCTTTGTCTGCCGAGCGTCACGTGATCACAACTGATATACGAGTGCTTTGGATTACAAGCACGTTTCCGGAACGAATTATGCTCGCGATCCAAGGTTTGACTGTACGTTGAACTTTTTCGCACCGTTGCGTCGCCAACCGTGCTAAGCGGAGGTGCGGGGGGTAAGGACGACAATCTAAACACAAAAAGCAGATCTAAAGAAATGAGTAATCGATGTAGTACAGTGGTGCAGTGTATAATGTAGTGTATAGTAGTGTATAATGTAGTGTATAGTAGTGTAGTGTATAATGTAGTGTATAGTCGTGTATATAGTAGTGTAGTGTATAATGTAGTGTATTGTAGTGTATATGGTAGTGTAGTGTATAGTGGTGTATATAGTAGTGTAGTGTATAATGTAGTGTAGTAAATAGCAGTGTATGTACGTTGAACGCCTTTCTCACCGTACGTAGCCAACCATGCCAAGCGGAGGTGCGGGGGAAATGACGACAAACTAAACGCAAAAAGCAGTTCTAAAAATCAGTGAGTTTTCAATCGAGATGACTTAAAAGCAGCTTCCTTACTCTCGAATGGAAGAGCGCGTTCCAGACGGCCGCGGAAGCGCGCACGGCGGCGATGACGAGGCGCGGGGACCGATGCCGGGCTGCGTGCGTCGCGTGCGTGCGTGCAGGTGTTCAGCCTGTTTGTGGAGACCCTGGTGGAGTTCGTGGCGGTCCACCACAACGAGCTACACGAGTGGCTGACCGTGCTGCTCACCCAGCTGCTGAAGAAGACAGGGGCCGACCTGCTCGTCTCCGTGCACGCCAAACTCCAGAAGGCCCTCGACACCACGCGGTCAGCTCCGGGGTTGATTTTTGTTGTCGTCTTCGTTGTCGGATTGACTCACAAAGTACTCTTTTTACTGGTAGAAACCTCCCGGTTACACCAGCCCACAGGGGATTATTCTGTCCGTCCGTCCTTGCATCCAAAAATGTCCGCGTGATGGCCGGGGTGGTTTTTCCTCCGCTTCCCGCCCCGTGCGTGTAGTAGCCAAAGTGCGAGTCGCAAAGTGTGAGTACGAATCGGGGGGGTGGGGGTCGTGTACGAGCAGGTCCGTGTAATCCTGAGACCTTACTTACTGTACATAAATAACGAGAGAAATAGAATCATCATCATTATTATTATATACTAATGCGTGTGTGCGTTATATTTTTACTTTGCATTGCAGGACCTTGTTTCCCTTTGACCAGCAGTTCAGCATCTTGATGCGATTCATCGTGGATCACGCACAGACCCCGAGCCTCAAGGTTTGTCAACGGGACGCTTCGACATTCTTTAAAATTATTATCGCGCCTCGCAAGGTGGGGGGCCCCCTCCCCCCCCCCACCCCGCATGGTTGAGCCGGGCACCCGTTTGAGCGCGGTCGTAAAACAAGGCAACTCTGGCCGTACGCTCATCAGTCAGCCAGTTCATTTTCAGTTTATTAGGTATAGCCCTGTGAGCCATGCGGCTCTTGAATCGCGTGCAACCGCAACAAACAAAAACACCAACAAGAAACATCTTAAAGTGACTACGCGCGACAGAGAAATCCAGGAAAAAAAACAGCAAAGTCTTCCGGGAAAAAGCACCGTATATCAAAAATCCAAGTGGGATGAAAGTCAAACAATAACAACCATAAGACAATTGAGTTGAAAGTTATCAGTCTACCTCTGTTACTACAACAAACAAATATGGCTAAACCAAAACGTTTTTGAAATCGCCAAAATAAAGTTATAAAAGCAATGTAACAGTAAATTTCGATTTAAAGCTTTCGTGACTGCAGGGATTCATCTTCTTGGTTCTTTCGGTAAAGTCACGTAGAATGGAAATAATAAACTCATAAAAATAAAACATAATAAAATAATTCTCACGACGTTTCGGCCACAATGCAAGCAGCCGTCCTCAGGTGAAGAACAGGTCTGTCGGGAAGACAGAGTCTGAATGAAACACCCCAGGCTTGGAGCGTCTAGTTAAGCTAGGTTGGAGGGGGAAGAGCGCCTTGACAAAATAATTTGCATATCAAGAGGAATTTAGCATATTTATGGGAAATGCAGATATGGGATTAGTCACTACTTGTGAAATGCATAGGAGGTGGGCGGGGGGTTTCAAAGTCATATTATGCCCGTGCATGATGCAGGATTAGCAGCATCAAAGGGAGGGAGATACGACTCTGCACTTGTTTGTCATCGTTGTCAACGCGTGCCTGGAATCTTCTCCAGGTGGTCTCCAGAGCCGGGAGGCACACGTCTTGTGGCGTTGTTGTAAATTCTCAGAAATGTAAAAACAAATGTAAGCACCCTGTATATAATAGGTGACGCTTTTTGGGGGAAATAGGCCTTATTTATAGCACGTCAATCCCTTGCAATGAAAAATAACCATTGGAACCTCATTTGCCAGTAGCAAAATATGATAATGATTTTTTTACCCTTTTATCTGGCAACAAAACTGACACCTTTTTTTACAAGGAGTCATGTTTGCATTGACCACAATACCTGCGGTCGGAATACAAACAAAAAACACAACTGATAATGTATGCACTGTCCTTGAAATTGATTGGTCCACACCCGAGACAGCTTTTCTTAGAGCCTAGTCTCACATGATGTTGGAGCAGATGACGCCAAAAGGCGCACAACTCAAAGACAATGCACCATCAGAGTATGAGAGCTCGGGGTAAAGCATTTACACCATTGGAACCTCATTCGCCAGTAGCAAAATATGATCATTGTTTTTTTACCCTTTTATCTGGCAACAAAACTGACACTTTTTTTTCGTGAAAACATTTTTCCAAAATTTTACACTTTTTAGGAAAAAATAAATTATATTTAATTACCAATTGCTTAATGGTGCCAGGCATTCATCTGACCCATAGGTGGCAGCCATCTCAAGCCAGAGGACGAGAGGACTCTAGCCGCCACGCATATAAAGGATTTATAGTGAAAAACTTTGTTTTTACGGGTACATTTTTTTTTATTGTTGTTGTTATCTTTCACAACTGAGTGTGTTCTTACCCGACCTGAAAGCGAAAAATCATTCATCGTTCCGTAATTATAATGATTCTTTGTCCGCGCTGCCCGCAGGTCAAGATCGCCATCCTGAAGTACATCGAGAGCCTGTCGCGGCAGATGGACCCCACGGACTTTGTGAACTCGAGCGAGGCGCGGCTCGCCATGTCTCGCATCATCACTTGGACCACGGAGCCCAAGAGCTCCGACATCAGGAAGGTGAGCGATGTTTTTTTCTCTTTCTCTGTGCGCGCGCGTGTGTGTGTGTACGTCTAGGGGAGCGGTAGTGCAGCAGTCGACGCGCTGCGCTACGAACCTGGCGGCCCAGGGTTCGATTCCCGCTCACGGCCAACACCAGTGACGATTATTTGAACCGGTCTTGGGCCTCTCCTAGGTCGACTCAGCCTAAAATGAGTACCCGGTGCGGTGTGTAAACATCGCCACCGGGGAGACAAAGGCGGCCAGGGAGTGGTGTCGGCCACCTACCCGCTCGTGTACCGTGCCGGCCTTCATAGGTGCTGCTCGCTAACAGCACTTGCCCCAACAGTCTCTTAAGGCTACACGGGGGATCTTTGTCTCATACTCTTAGTTCTTTCGGTAAAGTCACGTAGGTAAAAAATGAAATTAAAATTAATAAAAATAAAACAATAAAATCACGACGTTTCGGAGGCAACACAAGCTTCCGTCTTCAGGTGAAACCGTCACAGCAAAATATCTGTATTAATTTTAATTTCATTTTTTACCTCCGTGACTTTACCGAAAGAACTAAGAGTATGAATCCTTGCAGTCACGAAAGCTTCAAATCTGGATCTTTGTCTCGTCTACTCTGAGAGCCTCGTCTCTGTTAAAGCTCTACGGGGTGGGTGGTGGTCGTTGTTTCTTGGTGTGGATCGCAGGCGGCGCAGGCGGTGCTCATCTCTCTGTTTGAGCTCAACACGGCCGAGTTCACCATGCTGCTCGGCGCACTCCCCAAGACCTTCCAGGCCGCCGCCACCAAGCTCCTGAACTCGCACTCCCGCGCCACGGGGATGTCCCCTTCGCAGGTACCGCGTGGGGGTACCATGTGGGGGTACCGCGTGGGGGTACCGCGTGGGGGTACCACATGGGCACCCTTAGCATGTCGTAGGCACAAAATAAACCTCCCGACGAGAGATGATAACAATACGCACCATGTCGTGGCAAGTCGGTAATGGTCACCGGATGTAGAGAGAGACAAACTGCCAACCGTGGCACGGTGGAGTCTCCCACAACCCCGCCTCAACGGCCCCCCCGACACTCGCCGTGTAATCGAGTTGCTCACCGTCGCCGGGTTTGAGCAGGGTGGGTGGGGACGGGGGGGGGGGGGGGTCGGGGGTCACGCCGACCTTCGTGCCGTCGCTTGCCACGCTGTCGTCGTTGTTGTCGTCGTTGCCGCCGTGACCGCGGCGTTCACCGACGTGGCGACGGTGTCCCGTGCCGTGCCAGGGGTGGGCGAGCGGAGTGGCGCACCGCCCCTCGTCGCAGTCCGGCACAGGGCGGACGCGGCCGCTGACATCTCCAGGGAGCGCGTCGTCCCAGGATTCATTGTCCCTTGGGTACGCGCACACACGCATGCACGCACGCACACACGCACGCACGCACGCACGCACACACGCGTGCGTGCGGTCATCTGCACAAACTAACAAAGGTACCCCCCGTGTAGCCCACGCAGACTGTGTGCGTCAAGGTGCTATTAGCGAGCACCTATCAAGGCTGGCACGGTGCACCTATGAAGAGGAGGTGTGGCAAGAATTACCCCGGGCCGCCTTGTGTCTCCCTATTCCTGCTGTTTACGCACCTCTGATTAGCTACAATCGGCTTCGTACGGTGCGAAAGAAGTTGAACATAGACACGACAGCAGGTCCTCATTTGTGGTTTTGTAGACCTTGAGGAGGGTCGGGACCAGTTTCAGATCATTACCGCTGAAATGAATTCCCGGTCGCTACGTTCGTAGCACAGTGTGCGCCAATCGCTGCACCACCACTCTCCGCGCACACACACAGACGTATACGCGTGCACACACGTACACACACGTACACACACGTACACACGCACAACCATCCAGGAAAGCCTCGCTGAGCCTTCGGCAGCGACTGAAGGTATTGCTGGCGTGACGCGCTTCGGAGAGGACTGGAGTTGCATCGCTCATGATGTACAAGCGTCTTTACACGAACAATTGCGGCAGCTGGCGTTATCTGAAATGGCAATTACGATTGTAATTTACCATTGTAATTGTCTCATTGCACATGGCACGGTGACGATTGTTATCGACCCCAGGTCTTGACAGGGCCCTGGCGCTAGCGTGTGCGCCGCTGGTCAGGTGTGATTTTTGTTTTTTTCTTTTCGGTAAAGTCACGTAGGTAAACATTTAAAATTAATAAAAGTAAAATAAAAAATACAATAAAAATCACGACGTTTCGGAGGCAACACAAGCCTCCGTCTTCAGGTGGAACCGTCACAGCACGCTCGCTGTATCAAGTAAATGAGAAATTCCAAGAGATCCGACCCCGTATATATACTGGTTGAGGGGGGAGGAGCCAGGGTAGGCCCCTGGATCGGAGTTTTTTTATTATTATGGTAAGGTTGGTGCGGCTGAAGCTACGGCTAGTCTACATAACAAAGGACTGAGCCTTTGTTATGTAGACTGGCTGAGAGGGGGGGGGGTGCCAGAGTTGTTAAAGTGCAACTGCTGCTAATGGGACCGAGCCCCTGCCATGTAGATGGTAAAAGCAAAAAAGCAGGTCAGGAAGAAACAGCCTCCTGCTACGTTGCCTGGTGGGTAAAACTTAAAGCAGGAAACCAGCGTGTGAAAAAAGAAGCTAAACAAATCTAGAATGATCAGGTGTGGTGCAGTTCTCGGCTCGGAGCCACAGCCGCCCTGGTGAATGGCCGCCCGTGCGTGTTGACCGCGAGAAATACGCAATGTCTTTTTCACGGTGGATGTTCCGCGAAAAAGATCAGTCGGCTGTGCGCGCGGCAGTGTTGCGGCTAGCGCTACGAACCCGGCGACACGAGTTCGATTCCCGCTCACGGCCAACATCGGTGACGAATATCTGAACCGGTCCTGGGCCTCTCTCTTAGGTCGACTCGGCCTCAAATGAGTGCCTGGTGCGGTGCGTAAAAACATCTCCACTCGGGAGACAAAGGCGGCCAGGTGTGGTGCTGACCACCCACCCCCTTGTGTGCCGTTCCGGCCCTCATAGGTGCTACTCGCTAACAGCATTTGCCGGCGTTGTAGTCCAATTTTTGCCACGTTTAATTGATTTGTAAACACAAATCGGTTATGGGGCCCCTACTTGGAAATATCAGCAGAGGCTCAGCGAGGCTTTCGTCGCTAAATAAATGCACGGACCAAACTCATTATTTTTGACTTAAAACTGTCGTGACTGCAGGCATTCATGTTTTTGGTTCTTTCGGTAAGAATACAAACTAATCATGATAATGCCACGGCAGACAAAAGGCCTACGTTTGTGTTGATCTGCAAATGCGTTTTCCCCCTTGTCGTCTCTTAACATCTTACTCCGGTTGTACCTCGCCATGCTTGCGTTCCCCCCCCCCCCCCTTAACCGTTGATAACCCTCGACCTTGCCTGCGTTGACATTGCCTCTTTTGACTTCCTCTCTCTCTACCCCCCCCCCCTTCCATCTCTCACCGGGGTGTTTGCCTGCGTCCCTAATTCCAGACGCCCCTGCGGTTGGGGTGCAGTCAATGGGCTGGTAAAGCATGCCCCCTCCCCCGGCCAAACGCCCTCCAACCCCTCCCCCAGCACCCCCTCTTACAGCTGTGGCTTGCGACGAAATTCCTCGCCCAGGTAACGCCGGTCTTAACCTCAATCCTAACGGTTACTCCCCGTGGCTGTCCCCTTTGCTGAGCGCGAACGCTTTAACCGCTTGCTCCATTCGCTCGCCCCTTGCGTCGGTAGTTGTCGTAGGCTGGACTAAGTAGGGTACGGTCGTCGTCGGCTAAGACGTTGAACGGCAACTAAAAGCTTCTATCGCTATGTCACACCTTGTCGCTAGAAATCTAAATGCTTAGCGTCGCTTTGTAGGTTTCTTAGCAGCGGTTGTGCTGTATAGCTGCCCCGATGCGTTTTGGGTTTGTGCCGCGTGAAAGCGAATTTATAACTTCGACAAAGCTGCCGGCACGCGGAGCGAAACGTCAGACGTCGCGCCGGAGTACAACCCAGCACAACCCAAAACCTGTCGGAGAGATGAACAGCGATCGTTTTGACTTGTATGCCATGGCTTGATCCAGCTCGTGGCGTTGTGTGGTGCGGCGTGGTGTGGTTTTGTGTGACGTGGTGTGACGTGGTGTGGCGTGGTTTGGTGTGGTTTGGTGTGGCGTGGTGTGGCGTGGTGTGGCGTGGTTTGGTGCGGCGTGGCTTGGTGTGGTTTGGCGTGCAGTGCACCGGATTACGACACGGAGAACATGAACTCGGACGACATCTACAGCTCGCTGCGCGGCGTCACCGAGGCCATCCAGAATTTCCGCTTCCGCAGCCAGGAGGACGCCGCTGAACCCATCAAGCGAGACGGCGGCGGCACTGTGAGTAGGGTGGCGGTAGTGGTGGTGGTTGCAGTGGGAGTGGTGGTGGTGCTGTGAGTGGTGGTGGCAGTGGGGAGTGGTGGTGGTGCTGTGAGTGGTGGTGGCGGTGAAAGTGGTGGTGGGAGTGGTGGTGGCGGTGAAAGTGGTGGTGGCGGTGCTGTGAGTGGTGGTGGCAGTGGGAGTGGTGGTGGTGCTGTGAGTGGTGGTGGCAGTGGGAGTGGTGGTGGCGGTGAAAGTGGTGGTGGCGGTGGTGGGAGTGGTGGTGGCAGTGGGAGTGGTGGTGGCGGTGAGAGTGGTGGTGGCGGTGAGAGTGGTGGTGAGAGTGGTGGTGGCAGTGGTGGGAGTGGTGGTGGCAGTGGGAGTGGTGGTGGCGGTGAAAGTGGTGGTGGCAGTGGGAGTGGTGGTGGCAGTGGCAGTGGGAGTGGTGGTGGCGGTGAAAGTGGTGGTGGTGGTGGTGGCAGTGGTGGTGGTGGTGGTGAGGGTGGTGGCAGTGGGAGTGGTGGTGGCGGTGAGAGTGGTGGTGGCGGTGAGAGTGGTGGTGGCGGTGGTGGCACTGGGAGTGGCGGTGGGAGTGGTGGTGGCGGTGGGAGTGGTGGTGGGAGTGGTGGTGGCGGTGGGGTTGGTGGTGGTAATGGTGGTGGTGGTGGCGGCGGTGGGAGTGGTGGTGGCGGTGAGAGTGGTGGTGGCGGTGGTGGCGCTGGGAGTGGCGGTGGGAGTGGTGGTGGCGGTGGGAGTGGTGGTGGCAGTGGGGGTGTGGTGGTGGCGGTGGGAGTGGTGGTGGCGGTGGGGGTGGTGGTGGCGGTGGGTTTGGTGGTGGTGGTGGCGCTGTGAGAGTGAGAGCCTTACTCTTCTCTCTTTCTTAATCTCGTCCCTGGGACTTTCACCCCGGATCGAATTGCGCGCTCGATCGAATCGCCGGGCGGAGCGAACCGTCACCCTGCCCCGCCGACCCTCTCTGTGCGCGACTTGCAGCTGTCCCGCGACGGGCGACTCTCCTCGTCCTCCTCCTCCGCTCCGGCGCCGGCCATGTGCTCGAGCGAGCCGCAACGCATCCCCCACCACCACCACAACCAGCACCACCACAACCAGCACCACCACAACCACGTGCCGGACGGCACGGACTGCGGCCGCCCGGCGCTGGACAACAAGACGTCGCTGCTCAACACTCCGTCGCAGCACGGCCTGCTGACGAGCTCCCGCAACCACGCTCCTGGCGGATCCCCCGCCACCTTCAACAAATCCGCCCTGCGAGAGGCCATCTTCGACGACGACATCGAGCAATTTCAGGATGGTGCGCAATCGCCTCTTTCGCACGTCTGTGCCCGGGGACCGCCCGAGGGTGGGACTTGTTGGGGCCCTGGTCGCCTTGTTTGTTGTCACCCCCCCCCCCCCCTTTGTGCTAAAACTAAATTAAACTTTTTTTATTTTACCAGTTAAGGCACCACCAAGCTATGCAGCTCTTTTTCAGAAGCGAGCTGGCTGTCACAAATGATAGCTCAACGAAGTGGCTTGTCATCTTCTTGGTTCTTTTGGTAAAGTCACGTAGAATGGAAATAATAAAATAATAAAAACAAAACATTATAAAATAATTCTCACGACGTTTCGGCCACAACGCAAGCAGCCGTCCTCAGACTCTGTCTTCTCGACAGACCTGCTCTCCACCTGAGGACGGCGGCTTGCGTTGTGGCCCCATTCACATGTTTCATTGCTTCTACATACTATTAACATGCCCTCCCTTTGTTAATGCTACCCCCCTCCCTTTGGTGCTGCTGATCCTGCATAATGCATGGGCATAATATGACTTTGAAACCCCCCCCCCCCGCCCACCTCCTACGCATTTCCCATGAATATGCTAAATTTCTCTTGATGTGCACATTCTTTTGTTAAGGCGCTCTTCTTCCACCTCCAACTCAGCTTATATATAAGCTCCAAGCTTGGCAGTGTCTCATTCTTCACCTGAAGACGGCTGCTTGCATTGTAGCCGAAACGTCGTGAGAATTATTTTATTATGTTTTATTTTTATTATTTTATTACTTCCCTTCTACGTGACTTTACCGAAAAAACCAAGAAGATGATTCCTTAGAACTGCTTTTTGTGTCTTAGTTTGTTGTCCTTTCCCCCTCTCCGTACCTCCAATTAGCACGGTTGGCTACGCACGGTGCGAAATAAGTTCTACATACATACGAACGTACATACAAGACGAACAAGAGGGGCACACGGGGGGCTACTTCTGCACCAGGCGACGCTGCATAGAGCAAATTCAACATACATGGAGAACATGCGGGTGGTGGGGTGGCGCGAAAGGCGCCCGAGTTGGGAATCGAACCCAGGCCAGAGGTCGCAATCGGGTACCCGATACCCGTACCCTACCCGATACCCGGCTACTCGTACCCGGCCGGGTACGGGTACCCGTTTGTGACCCTTGTGCGGCCGGGTACGAGTACGGGTAAAGAATCAAAACCCGTTTGCGACCTCTGACCCAGGCCCTTTCTTGTTGCCGTGAGGTTTGAGAGCTCGCGCCCCCCTCGCCCTGTCGCCCGGTCGCAGACATCCCGCTGGAGCACGGGGACAAGGTTGCCGAGCTTCTGCGGGAGCTGTCGGAGTGCGGCGAGTGCGTGGAGGAGCGCCAGGCGGCCCTGCTCGAGCTGCTCAAGGTCACGCGCGAGAACGCCATGGGGCTCTGGGACGACCACTTCAAGACCGTGCTGCTGCTCCTCCTGGAAGCTCTCGTGGACAGCGAGGTGGGTGTGTGCGTGTGTGTGTGCGTGTGTGTCTGTCTGTGTGTGCCTGTGTGTGTGTGCGTGCCCAGCCACCGCATGCCTAAACAGCTTTTGTTCGGCCGGATCGAGGGGGCTAAACGGGCGCGGCACGGGCTAGAGAAGAGATGGAGTGATGTGGTACAGGAGGACGTGGAGCTGAGTGGACTTGCCGATGACTGGTACCAGCGGTGTCAAGATCGGCCTCAGTGGAGGAGGCTCGTGAAGGACGCTACTGGGTAGTTGGAGGCAGTCGCCCTCCAACAACAATGGAGCGCGGAGGATCGACGCTCACAACAACGAGCGGAGCGCCGGGTGGCTAAAGCACAGCAAGTTGGTACAGTAGGGGGCAGAGATGGTACATCAGCCAGTCATCTCGGTCTCAGTCAGTCGATCCGTGGCACCTGCTGGGTCTGCCCCGTGACCTCCTGCCAGCGGGCGTTCGACACTTCACGTGGCCTCAAGGTGCACTTGGCCTGGCACAAGCGTCGTGGTGACGTCACCGCCACTTAGTGGTGAATGGCGGTTGTTGTTGTTTTGCGTGCGAGCTCGCGCACGCGCGCCCTGCCTCTCCCAGTGCGCCTACCGACCCCGCCGACCCAAGTTCCGAGTCCCCCCCCCCCCCCCGCTCACGGCCGCAAACGCCGGTGGCGGTTGTTTCAGATTGAAAACTCGATTTGTATTGAACTGCTTTTTGTGTGAGTTTTTTAGTCCTTCCCCCCCCCGCCCCACACCTCGGATTAGCAAGGTTGGCTACGTACGGAGCGAAAGATGTTCAACGTCATAGATTTGTACATTTGAATCGGTCGTGGGCCACCCCGTTGTACATATATTGAACTTCTTTCACACCATACGTAGCCAACCTTGCTAATCGCAGGTGCGGGAGAAGGTCAGCAAATTAAACCTCAAAACGAGTACCTGGTGCAGTGTGGTGCTGGCCACCCATCCCCCACGTGTGCCGTGCCGGCCTTCATACGTGCCACTTGCTAAACAGTACTTGGCCCAACAGTCTGTTAAGGCTACACGGGGTAATCTTTGTCTTTGTGCACTTGCCCTACCGGTCTGTCGAACGCTATATGGGGGGGGGGAGGGATGCTCGTCTCTCGTGCGTGTACGTGAACCCGGCGAGTTCCGATTCACGCTCAAGCCCAACATCGCCAACGGAATATCCCGACTGCTCCCGTGCCTCCGCTCGGTCGACTCGGCCTCAAATAAGCACCTAAGCAATTGGCTCGTAAGCTGAAGAGGCAGACAGACGCATGCTCCTCGTGCAAAGCGCGACGGTCCGGAGAGGCAACGCATCGTGTCAGTGCCCGCCCGCCCCCCTCCCCCCCCCCTGATGTGGCATTAGTAGAAAACTTTCTAACAGCACTGCCCTGTGTGTGTGCCCACGCACCCCACGTGCCCGCTCTCCCCCCGCGCCCCGACAGCCGTCCATCCGCGCGCTGTCTCTCCGCGTGCTGCGTGAAATTCTGAGGACGCAGCCGTCGCGCTTCAAGAACTACGCCGAGCTCACCATCATGAAGATCCTGGACGCGCACCGTGACCCGCAGAAAGAGGTGAGCCACCCCCCCCCCCCCCCCCGGGGGAGAAGCGGGGGCAGTGATGCTTGTCAGAGGTCGCAACCGGGTACCCGATACCCGTACCCTACCCGATACCCGGCTACCTGTACCAGGCCGGGTACGGGTAGCCGTTTGCGACCCTGGTGCGGCCGGGTACGGGTAGGCCGTGAGTCACTGGTGAGTCACCGTTTGTCACTCATTTCCCAACGTCTTGTCTCTTCTCACAATTCAAGTTCCTAGAATCAACCCACCCGCGCCTGCAACATGGCTTCATCCCAGAGGTCGCAATCAGGTACCCAATACCCGTACCCTACCCTTAACCGGCCGGGTACGGCCGGGTACGGGTAAGGAATCAAAGCCCGTTTGCGACCTCTGACGCTCGTCCCCAGCTGGTACCGCTCGTTGTCATAGAGGCTCGCAGTTCAAATCGAGTGGCAGCCCCTGGTTATAACTGCGGGTGTCGTAATCGTAATACTGCTGCGTGGGTCTCCCTCGCCGCGATTCAGTGTTTGTGTAAAGTTGCAACAAAATGTAAAAATAATTTGCGCTATCCTCGATCGCACTCGTGGGTGTCACATTGGTCTTGCGCTGCAAAGAAAGGGAGTATTAGCGGGTGGCTTAATCTCCATCTGTGTCCATCTTTACAGCGTTACACACGTATTCCCGATTTCCTCCCACAAGCGTGAACGCCCATCGATCGCCTAAGAACATCTGAATATACAGGGGACCGCAGATCTTGGACAATTGCTGGCGTCGGCTCACCAGCCCAGTGGCTGCTGCCCTTGCCGGCTTCGTCTGTGATTCCTCCTGGCGCCTTTCGGATCGCTCGGCCTTCGAGAGCGAGCGGAAACTGGCGATGCTGTCCAGGTCGTTTTTATAATTATTTATATTCTTAGGTTTTTTCGGTAAAGTCACGTAGGTAAAAAATAAAAATTAATAAAAATAAAATAAAATAAAAATCACGACGTTTCGGAGGCAACACAAGCTTCCGTCTTCAGGTGGAACTTGATACCGCTATCGTGCTGTGACGGTTCCACCTGAAGACGTGTTGCCTCCGAAACGTCGTGATTTTTATTTTATTTTTATTTTAATTAATTTAAATGTTTTACCTACGTGACTTTACCAAAAAAACCTAAGCATATGAATCCTTGCGGTCACGAAAGCTTCAAATCTAGAATTAATTATTTATAATTATCGTTGTTGTCATTATTATCGTTCCGCCCAGGTGCTGCGTGCGGCA